AGTACGCTATAGCTGCTCAGCTGTGGAAGCTCAGCACCTGTGATGTGTGTGAGATAGCCAGGAACAGTGTGCTGCAAAGTGGACTGTCTCACCAGGTACAGTGACACTTTCACTCCACCTTTATCATACCAGGCATTGCCAGGTCTCCATTACATTTAACCAACATTCATCCCATCTGTCTCTAATTTATTGCATTGTTTGTTTACAGGATAAGAAGCACTTCTTAGGGGTGAACTATCTGAAAGATGGACCTGAAGGGAACGATATCCGTCGGACCAATGTCGCCCAGATCCGCATGGCCTACAGACACGAGAACCTGTGCAATGAACTTAGCTTCATAGTCGACGCAGTGAAGTCTGAAGTTATGGATGAATAAAGCCGACTGCAGCATGCTGAGCTCTCAGTAATCAACCATTTACCATATACCTTTATTTTGAAAAGTGCCAGTGAGTGACTGGGATGATTAAATAGAAAATACAATATGCTGTCAATTACAAAGTCATGCTTAGCTCGTCACAAGTTGATAAGGAAGGAAATTGGTAAAGTGAATGTGCATGCCTTGGATTACTGGATGACTGATGGCACTTTGGCTCTCAAAGGTTTAGACAAAAGCTGTGGAGGGCCATGTGAATCCCATCATGTATAAACAATTGTACCTTACACTTCATTTTGTGCCGAGGGTATGTCATAAACTTGACGTTTTTCAGTTACTGTATACACCGTATATTGGACGTAAGAACACTTATGGTTGAAAGGGCTTCACACAATGTTAGTTCAGACCACTCTGATAAGAGATAAATGATGTCTGGGACATTTTCTCTGTCTCTCCCTTTAATAACTTGTTTTAAAGAGGCTCCTGGGAGTTTTTTGGAAAGATATCCATATTTTGAAAGATTTGACAGAGTTCATAATGTCATATGTCTTTTTAAAAAGTGCTTGAAATTGTTGTAGAAATGTTGCGTTTACATGTATGTTCATTATGTAAAGCAGTATGTTGAAAGAATAAAAAGTCTTCACAGTGATTGTATTGCAAATGTTGCCATCTAGTGGCTAAAATGCACCATTTTAATAACATCACATAACATATACAAAAATAAATGCTATTCCGTCTCATTACTTTCACACAAAACAAAGGACATAACACATCTTTGTCCTTAAAAAGAATATTACTAAGTAGTTGTCAACGGAGTCCTTCTTTAAAGTATTTTATCAGAAAAATGTTTATGTTGCTTCTGCTTCGTCACCCACTTCTATCCTCTCATCTTCCTGAGCAGCGATGTTGGTTTCCTTTATATTTTTCACACACGTCCACTCTTCTGTCTGGATGTTCTCTTGCTGCTGCTTCATGTCAGAGCTCAGAAAGCGTCTCCTCCTTTTCACAGAGAGAAATAAATAAATCATACTATGCACTATAATAGATGTAACAATAACAAAAGGAGAAACATGGTTTAATTTGTAGTGCCTGGAATTTTACACAAAAGAGAGATGCTTTGTCTCTTTCCCCAAAGTTTATAGACCCCATATATATAGTACTTTCATATGGAAAACCACTCACAATTTGATGTATGCCAGGATGATTACTGTAATAAGGAGAACGGCACAAACGGAGGTGATGAGTATAGCTGTTGCTGTAACAATAAAGCATGAAAGGAAAAAAACATTAGTCAAACAGAACAAAAATCACATCCAAACACTTATAATAAAAGGTCTTTACGTGTAGCTGTTGTCTGTATGTTTATATTTGTTGCTATCTATTATAATCCTCATACCTCCAGCAGAGCCTTGTGCACTGCTGACAAACCGTGCTGGTTCCACCTCATTGTCTATGGTTTCAGGAGTTGAGGTGGAAGAAGGAAGAAGGGTGGTGGAAGAGTGCATGTCCTGGGAGGAGTTTGCTGCCTTAGAATGAGATTGACTTTGCCCCGAGTAATTCCTGCTGTGCAAAGGGCTATCAGTTGTTGTATCCTTCAATTGTGTAGCCGCATCTGTGCATGTAGATTAGAGAGAGATTAGGTAAATGCCATTTCAACTTTTCAATTCAATTAAATTTTAGTATCAAATCATAAGTTATTATTATCTCAGGACACTTTTCAAATAGAGCAGGTCTAGACAATACTCCACACTTATTGACAGAGACCCAACAAGCAAGCATTTACTGTGCATGCCATTTGATAATTGTATGTTTTCATCGTTCATTATTTAAAATTAGTTTTAACCTTGTTGCTGAGGGAAAAAAAACATATCTGCCTCCCATTTGCAATCATGCCCTGATAGTAATGTCCTTGTACAGCTGTCTTCACTTAGTGTGGGAAAAATATTAAAAAGGCATTTCTAAATGGGTGTCTGGCAGTAATGATACATATGTATTTATTACAACAACCCTGTAAAATAAGCATAACACAAATGAGGAGGTTTAAACAAACATTTTATGTTATGTTTTCAGGAAATAATTTCAGTCTAACATTCATGTTTTGGAGCACAGGAGTTTTCCATGAAAAAAAAGTGTTATGTAGAATATACTAAAAATGCAGCTTAATCCAAATTCAGTGTAAATGTAAATGTAATCAGATAGTTTAAAGAACAAAAACCAGGGCTTTGTTAATAGCATGCATGATATCTTTAATTAACTGTTGCCTCTTAATGTGTAGTATAAAGCACTGGACAAAAATGCATATGAAAAATGTCATACCTGATTCATTAAAACAAAACACATCAAACTTTTGTGTAACAGAGGCTCGCCATGTCACCAAGCCAGTCTTGTTTTGGCCACAATTAAAAAGGGCATTTCTCCGAGGAATGACTGCAAAGTGTTCATCAATCCATCCAAACCTGAACAAAACAAAACATGACACAGCATCAGACCTTTATTCAACCCTGCTGAGATTACTGAGGTGATCTCGTGCATGCCTTCTCAAGTGTTACCTGCATGTTTCTAAACCTCTAGTGAGAGCTTCCTGTACTTGTGCTTTTGAGGCAATGTTCACACGGAGGGCCAAGCAGAGCCTTCGAGCGTCTGAGGCATTGAAGGTATACTGAGGCTGGTTGAGGTCATTTAAGTAGCTAACCTGGAATACTCCAGCAATACTTTGGTTTGCTGCTGGAAAAACTGGAAACAGCATATAAAACATTTGAAGATTTGGGTTCATAGAAGCTGTAAATGTGATGAAACATTTTCAAATTAAACAAGAAATTCTTCATTTATCTACAGAAACAAAACAGAATAGTTTACATATGAGCAAATATCAAAACCTACCTTTGATGTGGCTTGTGTCAATGTTCAGGCCAGAGATGACTGGAGTAATTGACAACACCGATGTGATGCAAAGCCAGAGCATATTCATGACTGGTCAGAGACGGAACGAATGCCAGGTATGACAAGTGTTGCACGCTTTATGTGTCTCGTCAGCTAAATGACAGGGTTAAATAGGGGTGATTCTGTTCACCAGGGTGTGTGGACTCTTGCCAGAAAGTAAAGGAAAAGGAAGAGGGAAGTACTGCTCATGGGTCAGATCAAGATCCATCATATGTTCTAGGAGAGGGCCCCAGGAGAAAAAGAGATAAAACTAATATGTCAACAGGAGACAAAGCTTTCTGTGGAAGGCAGTGTACGGTGAATTCATGTTCCACAAATAATTACATTTCTTGGCTAAGTCAAAATGCAGCTTATAATATAGCACAAAAAATTATAGTTTAAAAAAGAATGACGTTATACGTGTGATAGTGTCCTCATAGAGTAAGTGATTTGCACTGTTACTGACATCTGACACTGGGCACTCTGTCCAAATGATTTCCTCCCATGGGACTTTACTTAGTCATGAACATGCTTATGATCTCTGGTATCCTCTCATGAGTCTTTGGCACACGACAACATCCCACTTCCACAAAAACATCTCAGCACAAGCCATGTCGGCAGGAAATGACGCAAAGAGCACTGACGAACACGCAGCAGTGTTTTTGTCAGATGTGAGGTGTCAATGAGGTGTGTGGGCATAATAATCTGGAGCAGCAGAAAAGGAAAGTATTTAAGTTCTCTTAAGGGTGGGGTTTGTGTGTCTATGGGGTCATATTAAAACCTTCTAGGGTTAAATTGCATTTAACTTAGATAACATTGCACTAAATAGTTTCCTGGGAAGATTAAACTACTCTAATGAGAACATGATGATTCTGATGTGTTAGAAAGTGAACAAGAAAATATGATAGGCATGGATCTATATCTCACTGTTATCCTTCAGTTTTGCTTCTGATAAACAAACAAGACACAACGTGTTGATAAGCGAGCTTTAGAGGTGCTTGTAGATGGATTTTGTTACCTTTGGGCAAAGCCAGACTAGCTGTTTCCCTCTGTGTCTCTCACTCTTGCTGAACTGAGCTAACCAGGCTGCTGGTTGTAGCTTCATATTTTACATACCGACATGAGAGTGGTATCAATCTTCAATTTAACTCCGAAGAAGAAAGTGAACGTGTATTTTGCCAAATGTCAAACTATTCCTTTAAAGCAACTATAATGATAATTTTATCATAACATTATTACTATTACTATTGTTATTATTACTATTTCAGGTTTAAAGGTCCAGTGTGTAACATTTAGGAGGATCTATTGGTGAAAATAGAATATACATGTATATATATTCATAGGTATGTAATTAGTTTATAACCACCTGAAAATAAGAACAGTTGTGTGTTTTCATCACGTTTTTATCTACAGACGAAGCGGGTTGCCTTCCACAGTCCATTGTACAGCAGCCCAGAACGGACAAACTAAATACTGGCTCTAGATAGGGCCTTTGCATTTTTTGGGAGTTTTGTAACCACCTTTTTTTTCAACACACTTGGAAAAGGAGGGAGAGGCGAGGGGATAGCAATCTGAAACTTAATCGCTAGATGCCAGTAAATCCAACGCACTGGTCGTTTAGTCCTCTGTACTGTATGTTAGAAAAGGGATTACAGCACCAATCTGCTTTGGTGGCACCTTATATTTCTCAATAGAAATGACCACAATATGTTTTCAGGCACCTTTATTTAAAGGTGAAGTGGCAAAACATAAAATCTACAGAGAACAAACAACACATGTGCAAAGAAGATAAAAACAAGCCTCATGCCATCTAAACAGTGCTCTCATACAAGAAGGAAATCTCTCAGTGCTCTGAAGACACAATCCAAAATGGCACAAATGAGAACCATCAGCTGCAAAATATTGCACTTAAGGAACTACACTGGAATGTGCTTATATCTTAAAGTCTTTAAATACACATTATAGAAATTAAACAAAAAATAAAAACATTCCTTTGTTTTCTATATCTTTATATATCAATTCAAAATCTCTCTGGAGTTTTATTATCCACTGGACCGGAGAGATTATACTTTAACATTAGAGTGTAGATAAATACACACTTTTTCCATTGCGTCATTTAATGGAAATATTTCATCATCAAGATGAACCTAAAACAGAACAAATCATTAGGTATGCATCTAATTTAAATATATATAGTTATATATTATCACACTATATAATTGGTCCCTAAACAGATTTTCTTTTTCTCTCAATTCCTCAATCCAAACGAAATTATAACTTAATGCTGTTAAAGGCAACATTATCCATAAAGCCTCCCAAAACGTCTTTGGCCCTCGAGAGTCAGGGTCATTGATTCAAGTGAGTTCGAGCGTGGTGATATGGTAAACTGACAGAGACAAGAGGACAACTGCCGTCTCCGTTATTCTGTTCTGTTCTTTGGTTGTGCTGCTACACTTAGTCCAAAGCTCTTCATCTTTCCTCGCACAAGTCGTTTTCTGCTTACGTGTCCTCACGTCTGTTGTAGTAGTCACTGAAGAATGTAAAAATACTGATAACCAGACACATCACCACAAACAGTGTCAGGGCGATCCAGAGTAGACGCCGACTCAAGGAAATCCTGGGAAGAAAACGACCAAGAAGAACCAGGACCTCCTCCATCCTCCTGCGAAGATATATATCTCATATTGTCATTGCTGTCAACTGTTTTATATATCTACTCAAATACAATAATAGGAGTTTCTTTCATGACAGATATGTGGCTTCAAATCATCCATGTATTTCTATTTAAACCTACTACAAGGAGATTTTAACTGGTTATGAAACTCTATATGACCCACATAAACAAACGAGACCATCAGTGAGACGACTGGCTATTTCTATATAGTTATTCTTAATGCTGGCCACTGGGTAAGATTCAGCTGCATTCCCCCTTGAAATCAATGAATGAGACAGTGGAAACCTTACCGCTTTTGTCCACAGGGGACGCCAGAATCAACACAAAATTAAAGTTCCTGGTTGAAATTATTTATACATTCAAAGATATTTTCACTACTTTGATTCCCTCACGTTTACTCCATTGGATCAAATGTCACCCTTTTCTTTTTTTATGTTTTATAGTTGGTGGATAATCATATGCAAATTATGTAGAGCTACATAAAGACTGTCTGTCTCATAGTGTTTGTGATATCAATGTCAGTGCAGCGTTAAAGAATCAAGTATAAAAAAATTAGGATCATCAACATTATTATTATCATTTCCTTACAAATGTACCATCACATACATCCAATGTTCTGCAAGTGTAATAAGTCTAATAGCTGTGCTAAATGACAAAAAACATTTTTAAAAGCAGGAGGATTGATTTAAATAGAGAAGCTCTTGATGTATTTAAACTACTTATTTGCTTATTGAGGTGTACTCTGTGTGTAGATGAGATTCATGTACGTAGTATTGCATTTTTAATGAAACTTGGAACATCTGGTCTGCTTGTGTCTTTGCTATCAAAGAACAACATACAAAAGATTCTGCTTATTTCTTTTTATAAGGCAGCAGATTCAGTTTACCTGGTTGTTTTTATTTTCTTTCCACTCTCTTCATCTTTATTTTTCACTTCCAGCTGTTTCTCTTCAGCATTTTTCTCTTCATTCTTCTCCTCTTGCAGCACTTTATTTTGCTTCAGTCCGTCTTGGAAGCTGCATGTGAAATGTTTATATTTACCAGCAAGATCTAAAATTAAACAGTAGTAAGATTCCAGAAATACTGATGTTCTATCATCAGGCCATAACTAGGAATGTAGAATTTATTATGATCACTGTAAATGTCTCAAAGTCTCTGTATACTAAATATTATATACATGAGAAAATTCACCTGTACAACAACAACATACCTGATGGGTCCCATAAATGTAGTGATTTATGATGAGCAACAACAGTGTTTATCATACAATGTGTGTGTATGTGTGTGTGTGTGTGTATTTAAAGACCAGGAGAGAAGGACTCACCCTTTATTATACGCCTCCTCCTCGATCTTTGCCTTGAGCTCAGCTCTGATCTCGGCTCTGATCTCCTCTAAGTTGACTGAAGGCTTGGCTGGCTCACTTTCCTGCTCCGACACGCTCTTTCCACTGCATTGTTTCAAATGGGAAAGAACAGTCAGCCTTGGACAGCACCACATCACAACACCACGGCCTTGTCTTATAATGGACAAGCTGCGGCACTGGCTGAGTGGTATGGCGAGTATGAACGTAAAAAAAATGGAGCTGGCACTTTGCACATTTGTTATTGCTATTCTCGTCTCCTTAAGGAACATCTAGCTCAGACACTTGAGAGCTCTACTTTATAACCAGGATATGATTGGAGCCTGGTGCCTGGACTTTGTCAAACCCTTGCACAAATGTTTAGATTACGACCCAGGATAGCGTATCCATCAACTGCAGCAGGGTTTGATTATTTTCTATGCTTTCAGGGTTATTTTCATCTCACTGTGGCTTTCTCTGGGCTTTAAGAGACATCCTGAAGGTCACACAAACAAGCTAGGTCCCACTGCAGCACAAAATGCTTCGGATAAGAATGATTACAAGTTCAGGCTTGTTTTGGCCCATTGTTTCAAGGACTGTGTGGTGACCTTGGGAATCAACAATGGTATGTATATGTACTACACATGCAGTTGTCTGTGTGTGTGTGTGTGTGTGTAGACCAAACAGTACAAGTATACAAAGCATACCATTCTGCTGCTGGTTGTGCCGTCTCTGTGGGAGCATTGCCTTTCACATCATTTGCTTCACACTAAAGAGGAGAGAGTTGAATATTGTTAAGAATATAATATTGATTGATTTCTAACAATATTAAACATTTAACAGCTGTGACAGAAGTATCAACATCCTTTACTTTAGCAAAAGTATAGATACCACAGTGTAAAAATACTTTACTTTAACATTACAACTTAAAGCCCTGCATTTAAAATCCTACTTAAGTAAAAGTACAGAAGTATTATGAGCTAAATGTACTTAAGTACCACTGCAAAACAATTAAACCATCAGAGAAGTTTAGAGTAAATTAGAGGGAAAAAAATGAGCCTGAGAGAGTCATTGACAGTATATAGAAGGTGTCACTTCATTGAAAGCCTGATATGTCAGTCCCCATCATTTCCTGACAGGACAGGAAGACCTACCAGAACAGGAAGAGCAGCACTAGAGGTGGGTCCCATGATGGGGCCTGGGCCTGGTCCCGGGCCAGGCCCTGGGCTGGCTGTGGCTGGAGTCTGACCTGGGATATTCAGGAGGTTAAACTTAGGCACCACCGCTACGCTAACCCTACGCCTGGGCAGAGCCTAGAGAGGAGACAGAACATGGAAAAATTAGGGATGTTTAATTTTTGGACATTTACAAATTACAAAGACATGATGATGTCACTGAAAGAAGAGACTCATGGTTCATACAAAACAACAGGACAGCATATGGACATTTTAGTCATGGTAGCAGCTAGGGATGGCAATGTTAGTTTGTCAGATGATTGGTTCACCACTTTGGTTCAGATTGAATAACCTCTGTGAATACTGGATAGATAGATGAATAGGAATCAAGATATTTTGCAGCCGACAGTAATTCATGGTCCCTAGAGGGGGTGTCCTAATGACTTTGTTTTGATTGCTATAAAATTTCTTGCAGACATTTATGTTCCCTTCAGGATGAATTGTAATAACTTTAGTGATCCACTGACTTTTCATCAAATGCCATAATCAGGTTACATTTTAAAACTAAAACATCAACCCATCAGTCTCAGTTGTATTTTGCGTTTAATGGTAATAAGCTAATGTTAGCATGCTAGCAACTTAAACTAAGATAGTGAACATGGTAGACATTATATCTGCTTAGCATCAGCACATTAGCTTTGTCATTGTGAGCGTGTTGCAACACAAATACACTAAAAAGTCTTAAAACCATATGAAATGATTAAGAAATTATGCAAATTAATAAAAGAGCTGTTGTGATTGTAACTCAGAAAAACTTAAGAGCTCACCTTTCCAAGGGTGAGGGACATTGATCTTGATGGCCTTGGAACTCCATCATCTTTATAAAGACAGACAAAGAAACACTAAAGCATTAATTTCATGCTGTTCTGAAGCTGAAGGTTTATTCTTACAGAGCAAAGGAGCAGCAAGGCTAAGACAAGGTGCTTCATCAAACCCTTGCCTGAATAAATAACGTTTAAATATAATTTCCATTAACAAGCATGAAACCCTCTGCAGAGTAAAAACGTAATATTAGGTTAGCTGAGTTTCATTCTTTTCCCGTGGTGAATCTGAACCTGGTCTCCAGTGTAGTCTTACCCCCAGTGTCTACAGACCCTCCATAACAGCGATTTGAGTTCTGGTTGGCCAGCTTCTTAAACTCCATCAGCTCTGCATGGTCCTTCTCATATGTCCTCTTCAGATTTTCCACATATTGCATCATGACCTCAGTGGCCTTGTTCATACGTTTCTCCTGTTGCGCAATGAAAAGTCAGTCAGTAAAAGCCAGCGAGAGTATGAACAAATGCTTATTTATGGAAGGAGCAAAACAATAGTAAAAACAACCAAACCTCTATTTTTACTCAATACATTTATAGCTATCCAACCTACATCAGACTTGTCCCATCAGATCACTTAGTTTTAGGTTAAAATGTGTGTTTTTAAAGCCAACTTAATCATTTTTTGGCCACTAGGGGTCAGACAAGTTACAAGACAATCTTATAGACATACAGTCCTGGTATAGATAGCTAGTAACTGTCTACTAACACATCCAGCGGACACAGAATCATTTATTTACCCATTAGCGCCATAATTTTGGCCACCTAATGAACAGAAGTCAAATATTGAGTCACTTATTCTTTCTTTTATAGTTTGGTCTCCCCTTACTCCTGAGAAACATATCTGGCTCTTAAGCTTAATACAACTTTTTTCACAAGCTAGTAACAAGCTGTTTGGTGTTGGGCAGGTAGCGTACAGTGGGCTGGAAACAGGGTTGATGAATGCAGTCAGACTGCACCATACAGTAAAATGGGTCATAAAACCAAAACAATGAAGCTAAAAGAGCTAAAAAATTTCCATTGAGCTGCAAAGTTTGGTGATAACTCTCTGTGGTTCAAACTTCTTTGATGTTACAAGCAGTTATTTGATTCTTCTTCTTGTTTCTACAAAAAAAAAAAAATCACATCTTTCTGGTGACATGTTGAAAAGACATATGCACAGAACTCATGGACAGAAATATTCTTTAAAAATTCCTTTATATAGTATGTGATATAAAGACGCCAAGGACTATCACACACCTTAGTTATTATTTGCAAATGGCAAATGGACTTATTTATAGAGTGCTTTTCTGGTCTACTGACCACGTAACGTGCTTTACAACACTTGTTACATCCACCCACATTCACACACACATACACTGATGGCAGAGGCTGCCGTGCAAGGTGCCAACTCCATTAGAAGCGATTCATCGCTTCCTATCCAAAGTGCTTCCGATGATACTAAACTCACCCACTTGGGGCTCAGTATCTTGTCTGAAGACACTTTGAATGGACTGGGGAATGAGACAATCCAATCTACCACCAGAGCCACATCCAAAGTAAACCCAAACATTTAAAGAATATGTGCCATTAAATGTGTCAATAAAACAAGCTGAACGTCTCTAAAGACTTATTGTTATCTTAGCCGGATAAAAAAATGACAGCTTTAGTTTATGTGCAATTGATGGAGCCTTATAATAAGATTGTTATTAATAGATGGGCAGCAGTACAAAGAAAAGACAATAATTTATCTGAGTGGTTTGGGATTATAAATGGCTTAAGACCTTTGTACTACAAACACAGTAAATTTGCTATTAACTGTTTTTTGCTTTGGTCGGCTGGAGGTCAGCCATCAGATCAGACATCAGACAAAAATCTTCACCATAATTTTTTAAAATGCTGCCAAACAGACATTCCAGTTGCTCCAAGACATCCTGAAGAATAGAGTATCTTTAAAACAATAAGATATACAATTGTTTGTCATCTGCGTGTGTTTGTATAACTGCACCTGTCGCACAGCTCCAACTATCTCTGCTCTGCTGGAGAGCCGTGTGGCCAGTCGGTGCAGCACTGCCACTGTCTCTATGAGGCGCTGGTAGGCCTCACGCTGCTCCAGGTTCTGCCACTGTGGTGAAGTCATCTGCAAGAAACACAACAACATCTTGTTACAACTTTCTCAGGAAAGCAAAGCGTACATCAATGTCCCCTTTGTACCTGGGATTGGACTCGGACAAGATAAATATTTACTGTGTGGGACACTTCCAGGAAACATTAAGCAGATAAACGAGCACTAAAGAGCTAGAGGGAGTTCTTCTTTTCTGGTGAGTTGATCTAATATCAGCTGCTGTTTTCGAGGACTGACCTTCAGTGCTCCTTTGAATTCCTCTAGTTCTTTCTCAGTGTCTTCCTCAGTCAGGTTCCTCTCCCTCTCTGACTGTTTGAGCCGCATCTCCAGAGTGTAGTTGTCATTCCGAAATGCCAGTGACAGCTGGACAAATGCGTTCTGTGGGGAGGAAGTTACTGCAATGTAACACACTGAGAATGGTCCATTAAACAGCACATTAAATACAGATAAGCTGCTGGTGATGGAAACACACCAACTCAGTGGAATATATCAGAGGAATCCACAGAAAACTCTCCCACAGTACAGCACACTTGAGAGTGTGGTTGTTTACATAATACCAATAATTTTTTATTGGATAACGTGTGAGGGAGAATCAAGCAGCCCTGAGATCAGCACGGGGAAACAAGCTGTGATTCTGACATTTGACCTCTTGATGTTTTGCTGTGTTGATCAAAGCCAGTCTGCACAGTTTTCCAACATACATGGGTCATGGCTGAGAGGAAATATATGACCTCTGACTGTCCTGATGCAGATGCATCCCAGAGGGAGCAGTGAGAGGGGCCACAGCCCGCGCCTGACAGCGTCACTAGTGTTTGCATTTTCTCCACAGGAAATCACTCTTAGTCTCTTTGGTCTGATCAGGAACAGAAAAAACTTTCCTGTTGACAAAACTCCGCCAAATCCAGGCAATTTTATGACTGTGTAATTAGCTACTTTGGTAACAAAACAGGTTGTTATAAACACAGGCTAGACACGTGGCCAACTGTTCAAGTGAGTGGAACAATACATCTGGCCGCACTGTTGGAAGCAGTGTTTGAACACAATTTACTGCTCGAAGCAAACAGATTACAGTTGGTGTTCAATTTTATGACCCATTGTAAGTACACAGTTAAATACTGTGGAGCATTTAAATTCAATATTAAAGTGAATATAGATTTCTTTGGATAGCAAAGCATAACATAAAGCAAATTATAATAGATTTTTTGCTATTTAAGTTGTGTTTAGGTATTAAATAACTGTATTTTTAATTAAGTTGAGTCCCTTACTACTATTCAAGTCAATTACTTTGTGAAATGTTCAATTATTAAAGGAATAGTTTGACAATTTGGGAAATATATCTGTGCTTGCTGGACGAGAGTTAGATGAGAAGATGTCACTCTCTCACTCACACGTCTGTACAGTAAATATGAAACTACCACCAGCAACCGTAGCACAAAGGCTAGAAACAGCTGGCTTGGCTCATGAAACATCAAATTGTAATTTTTACACTTACATTTTTGAACAGATGAAACCAACAAGACATAACATGTTAATTAGCACGGTTAAAAGGTACTGTAAGTAGATTTTTGTTATCTTTGTACAGAGCCAAGCTAACTGTTTCCCCCTGTTTACAGTCTTAATGCTAAACTAAGCAAAACACTGACTGACTCCAGCACTCTCGACAAGGAAGCAAATAAGTAGGCCCCACAGTATTTCCCAAAGGACAAGCAAAGCACCACAGAAAAACAAAATCAACTGTAGCATGTATGGACAAAGTACTGAACATTAAAGGAAAAAATGTGGAAGTGGTTAGTGAAAGAAATCACTTTGTATCATACTTTTCAGAAGAAATAATGTGTGAAAATCACCCAAAAACCTGCATAGATCAGATACCAACCTCAACTTCTTTTTCTGTGAGTGGGGGTGCACTGGAATAAAATCAAAGAAGAACTGTTAGTACGGTAAGTATTGTACATACAGTATTTGTACACTGTAAAGTTAAGATTTAAGGAGGGTTACGTTTGAGCGATTAGAAAGAAAAAATTAGGAAAAAGGTCAAATTTAACTTAAGTAGCAGTTAATTTGTTACGCACCAGCCTGGTAGACCTCGGTGTAGTTTGAGTTTTCTCAGCATCACATCTGAAATGTTTGGCATGGCGTCAGACTTCTCCCTCGCCTCCTCACTACTGGCTGAGTTTGCACAGGTTGTAGGACCTGCAGACAAATTGTTGCATAAATTAGATTTGAAGAGAGGTTTTGATTCAAGTTCAGGGTAAGTTATTGGTAAAGTCCTGTCTTAATGTGCTTTTGTGTGCAAAACCAGACGTCTTACAGTGACCATGTAACTTTGAGTGCAGCCACTGTGCCAACTAGAGGTCAATGATGAATACTCAAATGTAACAGAAGTGTTGCACAAATAAAGAAGAGTCATAAAGTCAGTGAACTGATTCAGTAATGTCAGTTACTGTACACACCAAAGTCTAGTTTGCTAACATCATACGCAGTGGTCATACCAGACCATGTTTGGTTGTAACATTGAAACCCCTGAGTGTGTTGAATAATTTCCTATATATTCAACTGTTTCATTTGTGAAAAGAAGGTGTTATTTGTTCTTTCAAGTGACATAGTGTGACTTTAAGGTCTCGAAATGCTGTCCTTTAAAATACAATGAATTTAATTGTACAATTGTACAGTTTCCTTTAAAGCTATGTTGATAGTTAATAGATTTTATTAGGTCACAACTTGACACTTGAAAACTTTGGCTTTCTCAAATGTTGAATCTTTAGACTGTCATGTCTCAACACAATCAAATAAAGTAGTCCAAGTAAAGTCTCAAGTTTAAATTTTGGGGACTTTAGTCTGACTCAAGTCCAAGTCTTAAGCCTACAGCTCTGTCTCTTTCCAAAACAAAACACAAAATAACTAAAATCATTTCCTCATTTCATCTTCCACAGATGGACTATGGCTCACCTGCTTTCACAATCATGCCATCTGCTGATAGAAAATGAAAACAGCATTTATTTCTCTGTTATGAGGTTGCCAGTAAATGGGTGGCACAGAGGAAAAAAACCACAAGAACAGATGATCATCATCATAATTTTCTGACTGGAACAGATTTTCCCTGAGATTCAGGAAGTGCACACCCATGGCGACATTGCTAAATGTACTGCTGTGAGTACTTTCTGTCTTACATGGACAAGAGGGCAAATAAGGACTGTTACCTTTTTCCTGTTCAGCAGCTTCACTCAAGTCTGGTAACTTGGATCCCACTATGCTTTGGTTACGCATCAGCTTGTGCTCCTGTATACACACACACACACACACACACACACACACACACACACACACACACACACACACACACACACACACACACACACACACACACACACACAAGAACAAAGTCTGTCTTTCTTATAACATTTTACAAAAGCAGGCAGTAATGACAGTAACCAGTGATCTGCTCAACAAATGCTTTACCTCTTTGAGTTTAGACAGCTTATGTACACCCCCTGGCTGGGTGGGGAGGTCCTTGTACCCTGAAGATTTAAAGACAGCATCCCTGGGCTTGTCTGAGAAGGTATCCTCTGGTGTGGGAGGAAAACTCGGGGCTCCATTTCTAGAATTAAGGCTGCCTACAGCGTCCCAGGAAACAGCCCTCATTAGTGGAGGGAAGGCCCCAATCGTCTTGATCTCTGCTGTACAGGGGGCTTGTTGAGTAGGGGGGCGGGGGACAGGCTTGGCCACCCCTGTGGCTGGGGCTTGGTTGGAGTTTCGGCTAGCTCCCTCATCCCCTTTACTGACTGTTGGAGGACTCTTAGGTACAGCAGGATCACAGTTCTCCTTTTGAACAGCAAAACGGGGTGTTAGAGTCCCAGAGGACACTTTCCTCTTCTCAGTGGGCTTCCAATCCACCAAAAGTCTGTTGCCCTGAAGTTGAAGTGAGATAATGACTATTATTAATATGTTTCGCATCCCTATTGTAATATTTGAATTACAATTCCATATTTGTATTGATAAGTTATGTAATAAACTGCTGCACACTGTCAGTACCTTCAACAGGCATTAAACTTAAAGACACTGAAACAAGAGTTTACAGTCATATTAGTGGCCCTGTGAGGCTGTACTTAGGCATACTAGTGCTTTGAGCTAATTGCTAACTAGCATCATCACACTCATAACAAATTTATGCTGAGGGGAGTGTGAATGTCTGTACCAAATGTCATGGCAAACCATCCAATTGTTGTCAAGACATTTCACTAAAAACCACTAATGTCAAACACATGGTGGCACTGGAGGAAAAGTCAGGATATCAGCGAAGTTAGTAGGGAACCATGAATGTCTGTACAAAGTTTGTGCAATCCATCCTGTAGATGTTGACATATTTAGGGATATTTCTAGGGATGAGTGAATGTTTGCAATTAAAAATGTCATTCTCAAATATTTAGATGTTTTTTCCTGACAAAGGTCTACGAGTGAAATGTTAACATAGGGTTGACAGTGTGCAGGTGTTGACTACATACCGTTCTATCAGGTGTGCATTAGACAATATTAAGTGTAACATCTGTGTTAAAGGTCCAGTGTGTAACATTTAGGAGGCTCTATTGGCAGAAATGGAATTATCATATTCATAGGTATATTGTCATTAGTGTATAATCACCTTAAAATAATAATTGTTGTACTTTATGTACATTAAAATGAGTCTTTTATATCTACAGACGCAGCGGGTCGCCTTCCATGGAGGCCACCATGTTGAAGTGCAGAACTGACAAACCAAACACTGGCTCTAGATAAGGGTGCTCGCATGTTTTTGTGTGTTTTGCTGCATCGAGGGAGTTGCCATCTGTAACTACACCACTAGATACCACTAAATCCTAGACACTGGTTCTTTAATACAAAGAAATGCAGTGAGTGAAGCTATTATTCTGACCTCCTGATCCTGAGGCGTTAAGTCATGCCGTTCTTGCACTGAAGGAACCTCCAGATGCTACACGAGAGGACAACAGATTTTATTTATAGCTGATTTTCTAGTGTTAATAAATGTATTACTTGTGTGGACCGATAAGTATTGAGTGATTTGATTAGGGCTCATTTTTAATGGTTAAGGGAAGGAAAGTCTCTGTTTCTAGAGACAGTGTTGCACAAAGGAAAAGCTCTTTACAAAAAACACCATAAAAAAGCGAAATAAAATGAACTTGAATCAAAAAATATCTGCATTACACAATCAGACCATCATGATGAATGTTGCTTTTCTAATAACAATAACTCTACCTGCCCAACCGACTGTGAGCTGACATGGGTTGCTTCTGTGGATCCTGAAAGAGCAGAAAACAACCAAAATCATTCTTGCAAACGCCAGTGGCCAGTAGGAAATAGGGTAGAAAAGTTATAAATAAATAGCTAACTAGTTCTCAGTAATGCCGAATAACCCAGACAAAGAATGAATTACATTACCAGTATGAGGAGCCACAGTCAGTGAACTGCTTCTAGATGAACATGGCGAGGATGACGGCGTTGGAGTTGGAGAAAGACCTGTGGGAAATTTGTGAATTAAACTTAACTGAATTGATGCCTAATTGAGTCCAGTGTGACTTTATCCCCTTTTGAAGTAACAAACTCAATCCAAGTGTATGAGTGTACCAGAGCATTCTCAGAAACTAAGACAATATATTACTTATACCAATCGTGTCACACTTAGGAAATAATATGCTATGTACAGTGTTTTATGAGCGTGTGTTTGTGCATTCACTACCTGTGGGCGACTCTGTGAGGCTGCCGGTGGAGCGGCGGCCGCGGCGCGTAAGGAAGCGGTCGCTGACCTTTTTGGCCTGTTCGAGCAGCTCAAGGTTCTTCTGTCGATCCTCGTCAGAGAGCTGCAGCTCTGGTAGCTGATCTTTCACCAGGTCGATCACATTACCTGTGCTGTCTGAGAAAGACAGTACACACATGTACACACAGAAAAACAAACAACATGCAGTTATAGACAAACAGGGATGTTAAACAGTAGGCTTCAGGTTGTAATCGTTTAAAAATATACATTGTAGTACATCTTTTTTAAAATTAGGCACAAAAGGGTTAACAAAGTCTGTGACTGCTTTTGGACTGGAGTCATTTGAAGAAGATATTTAAGTGGGATTCCTCCCTATAGAGCCTCATGCCAGAGAATAATTCACAGATGGATGTCAGCCAATAAATCAGGTGATGAGGGTTGGCGAAGTCAGAGATGTTTTTATCTTCCCCTCTCCTCAGAAAAGGGCAACAAGCTAAACAAGCATTTGAGGCACGTGGGAGGACACTCCGACAGATTCATCTCTCAGGACACAGATGACCAAACTTAGTTGAAATGTTGTGGATTTTGCTGTGGAGTTTCTTGTGTAACTACACAGCATAAGAGCATTATGTTTTGCTTTATTCATCCTTAAAAAGACAGATCTTTTAATAAAATGACATCAAAGCTGTTTTTGAACTGCACTTTGACAAAGAAGTAACTTTGAAAGGCCTGTATTTTTTTGTAGTGTTACAAATTTCTGCTTAAAAACAGCTTAAAACAACTGTTCAATTGTGGAAAAACACTCCAGAAAAAAATCTGCGGCTTCAATTTGGAGCTGGACTAAAGCAAATGTTGCTAATGATAACATCAAAATAGTTCTCATAGTGTTGTGGTTATCTTCAGATAATTACAGCTACAGTTGTGTGTGTGTGTGTGTGTGTGTGTGTGTGTGTGTGTGTGTGTGTGTGTTTCTGTGTGTGTATAGGGTTTACCCACCGACTGTTGTGATGGGTCCTCCAGATGAGTTTCTAGCCAGGCGAGCTCTGGGACTGTGTGGCCTGAGAGAGGAAGCAGTAATGATTCAGACACAATGTCCCTGTTTACAGTCATTCAGTGTTTAAGATGGTGGACGATTACCTGGCCGGCTCGAGGGGTCGTCCATCTTGTTGGACAATAGTGGCCTGCTGTGGGTAGACGATGGTGGGGGCAGTCATGACGATAGCTCGACTTTCACCTGGTGCAGACTGAGTAAAACAGAAAACACATGTCAAAGATATAGATGTACTGTAGGAATTAAACTGGAAAACATTTATAGAATATCAAGAATTTAGGTGGGACTGACCCGGTATGGAGCCCTGAGGCAAAATTGAGTAGTGGACCCCCATAGACCACCTAGTTTATCTAATTCACTGTGCATTATATATGTATTGTGTTACTTTAAAGTGGCTATAATGGATACTTTAATGATTACAATGTATTAAATAATAATGAAAACAATGTGATAATGTGGCTTATAGTCATGATCCTGATCTGTTCATCAGAGCATTGCAGCGATTTATAACTTCCTTTCCCTAAAGTTGGGGATTCACAAGAGACACATTCTTAAGAAAATGATAAAGATCGAAGCGGCAGGGTGCTGAGACATCTTGACTTCTAGACTGCTACTAGATCCTACACTTCCCACAATGCTGCTCATTGGCATCTTTCTTTCAGTAGCAACTCCCCCCTTCCCTCTTAAAGGGCAACTTCTTTAAAACCCCACAGAACACATTATTCTGCAGGCTGAATTGTACTCCTAGTGATGAGTGAACTGAACTTCGTGTATTCACAAATTTCCTGTTTCATAAAAGCCCAAATCCTTGTCCAACCATCAAAGGTGCATGTAAACACTGACTGAAATCAAACACTAATTCCCTAAGAGCTCCTCTCAGAGCTTATCTTTGCACTAGGATCCTAATAAAAGGATTCCCTCTGATGGTAATGCTGTAGAAAGGCTGTGCTGTAACGAAGGTTGAGACTTTAATAGTGTTGGCATATGCCCTGAAGATTAGATTACAGAGCTTTATTACATTCTGCAGAGAAATCTTATCTATGCTGTGTGTTGACGTGTCTGTGGTGGAAGACAATGTTCTTTGAGGACTCAGAAAGCCGACCGTTTAACACTTCACTGTCTGCAGGATGTTTGGAGAATACAATTTTGAATTTGAATCTTGGGGATGTTCATTTAAATGACAAAAAGATTTCATTTCCATTTACTCCTACTGGTATAATGCTAGTTTTTTTTTTAGATGAAGTGAAGTCATCATTTGTTTATATATATTCTACCTGATGTATAATCTATATTTCAGAGATTTGTGTATAATGTGATTATGTGTGTTTGTTCTGCACATGCAACATCTTTTTGTTTGGGGGGGGGTTACTCACCCGAATCGAGAGTCTAAGTACAGAGGGTGTTGTATGATATGCAGATTGTAAAGCCCCTTGAGGCAAATTGTGATTTGTGATTTTGGGCTATATAAATAAAATCTGAAATGACTATTTATACTGCCCGAAACTACAAATCACAAATTCGCCCCAAGGGTCTTGCCAAAGTCTATACCTCAGATCTCATAGTGGCTCTACTATGGATGAGTTACTGTAAAAGACAGGCAAAGTGGCCTTCAAAGACTCATAAAACATTCAGGAATGAGTACAATCACAGAGTAATTTGTAAACATTATGTGGGAAACCACAAAAATATAAGTACAGTAGAATTCCAACTCCAGTTCACTGCTTTTTCTTCCTTGGACCACGTTTGATAGGTACTGACCACTGCAGACTAGGAACACCCCACAAGAGCTGCAGTTTTGGAGATGCTCTGATCCAGTCGTCTAGCCATCACAATTTGGTCCTTGTCAAAGTCGCTAAGATCCTCACGCTGCCCATTTTTCCTGCTTCTAACACATCAACTTTGAGGGCAAAAGGTTCACTTGCTGCCTAATATATCCCACCCACTGACAGGTACCATGATAACCAGATAATCAGTGTTATTCGCTTCACCTGTAAGTGGTCAAAATGTTATGGCTGATCGGTGAAGAATAATTACAGGGAACATTTGTAACCATAGTAAAAATGAAAAAAGTGATTGGTTGAAGGAAAAAACATTGTCCTTTCACTTACGAGGGTTTATTCATTGCTTGTACTGCTACATTCAAAGCAATATTCTGAAGACACTTTGTGTTTGAGGACAGACTTCAATAGCAACATTGATATAATTTCCTCACCAGGGCCAAATGGATTATTTAGTGTCAGTTTTTATGGCCTCACATGCTTTTATAAAAAGCAGAATACGTGACAGTGTGTGCACTCACTGTACTTGGAGAGCTGGAGGAACTGTCCAGCTCCTCGGGGGAGTCCTCCTCTTCCTCAGGCAGTGTGGGCATGGCGGGGGTGAGTGGGGGGCGTGAGCGGGTGTGGGGGAAAACAAAAGGACTCTCAGCAGCACAGGGGGCGTCAGAGAACTCCTTGAAGTTATGAACAGTTTGTTCAAGAGGAGATCCCGGCAGCAAGTGCTCCTCCTCTTCCTGGAGCTGCAAGATCATGAACAAATGAAGACACAAACACGTGTATGTTGTGCATCTGTAAGACAAATCTTATGAGAAACTGTTCCCTAACTGCAGGTAGTGAACTGGTACATTAGCTGCTGATATTTTTTGTCTGGGAAAATAAGTTGCACATGAATGGAGATTTTCTGGAGGAAGTCTTTTCTGGCTAACCACAACTAAAAAAAGATACAGTTGAACTAACAAAACCATCCCACCATAAACAAATCCCAAAATATCCTCATTCTCCATGGCCTTGGAATAGCAGTATTAGGAAATTTTCCCAACAGGCTGTTACATCAGGCACAAAAACTCCACCTTGAAACAAAACTTTCCTATGACTCAATTGTATGGCTTTTGAATTCTCATTCATTTCCAGTAAGAATGTCATGAAACATTTAACATTTTGCTTCGTTTATGCCATGAAAAATATGAAAAACTTCAAGGTATCCTGTGATACCACTATATTTTTTTGACCACTACATCTCTATGGAGCAATGTTTGTGCGAGTGGGTCCCTGTTTTGTTTATATTGTGCACATGGATACATGCAAAAATGCAGGCAACACTATTGACATCCATCTATTAATTTCACGTTATTCCACTGATCTACAGGTGGCGGTAACATACCGATTAATGCAGTAATGCGCCAACAAATGTTTTATGAGGAAGGTAATGCATTCAACACCTATGTTAGACCTGAATGATTTTATCATAGCTTTGGTTTGTTTACAAGAAATTGCCACAGGGCACCCGGCCCTATGACACATTGGCCCAGCAGATGAGCACCTTCAGCGGAAGACTCCTCTCACCCAGATGCATCACAGAGCGCCACAGGAAATCATTCCTGCCTGTGGTCATCAAACTCTACAACGCCTCCCTCTGAGAATCAGACACCCCCTCTCCGTAATACATAGTCTTACACATAGTTACTGTACATATAGTCACTTTACATTATTATTATGATTATTAAAGTATTTCTGATTCTGATTAAATTTGTGAATATATTTACTCGCTCCTTCACGGAGAAAATGGAATAGAAAAAGGCATTAAAAGTCTCAGGTCTTGATTTTTTGGCTTTGGAAGACAGTGAAGCATTGATTAGATTCTTCTAGACTCAAGCAGCAATTTATCATTTGTATCTGAGTGATGCTCAGTGGAGGAAAACAGCAACACTCACGCAGAATCATCTGCTTTACAACACGAGCAATCGAAAACACAAATAAACACCACTCATGACTGAGCCTGCAAAGCCAAAGTTAAAATGAATTTTTCTTCCCACACAGTGACTTAAATTGTTTTGACCAGAAAACACACTGACTGGGATACACCAGGTTGTTATAAAACATTCAGTGCAACTTGCTCTCACAGGCTGACTGAGGCAATGAGCTCCTGAGGGACGATGTAAAACAAAAAGACGGCCTCATAGATAAGTGATGAAAGTAACATAGATATGAGTGCATGCTGTGTGGAACAAACTAAGATAGCTGAGAGAGGGAATTGAAACTTTACACAAAATGTGTTTTTCATTAAAAGCTAATCAACAGTGTGACTTTATCAAAGTTCAAGGTGGAAGAGACTGCTAGTATTATTATAATAACAGGATGAGAAGAGAATGAAGACAGCCGGTAAAAGACACAACTAATTATGAGTATGTTACGTGGAAAGCAAATAAGCAAACAAAATGATGCAGCATTTATTTTAGGAGAAAGAAAATAACTAATCAATAACTGCAACAGAGGAAATTATGCAAAACTAAAAAGTTTCTTGATCCTATGATAGAAGCAGGAGTGCTAATTAAAGCCAGTCAGTCAGGACAGAGGACACTGAAGATATTTTTGGCATTAATGATAAACGTTGCTGAAGTTTCAGCTGGTGCAATCTAAACATATGTGCAGAACTCATGATATAGTCAATGCAAATACATGTTAGCACAACATTTGCACATATTCAAAATTTTCCCGATTCAAAAACAAAGCCTGTGCTATTCTAACAATACTAAAGATTAGATTAATCATCGATGATTAATCTGCCGATTATTTCCACAATGTGTCATTTGATAATGAGAGAAACTGTCTTGTCTTTCAAATGTCCAAAGATATTCAGTTTATTATGACAAATATTCACATTTGTTGATAAGGTTTAAAAAATAACTTTTATTATTTAATTAGCAAATTTGTTGCAGATCGTTTGTCTAATTGCGTCAGCTCTAAGTCGTTTGTCACTGATGTTTGCCTGCAGCAGTTACCTGGCTCACTGAACTAAAGAAAAAGAAAAAAGAAAACAAGATCTAATTTCGTTAAATATTATGTGCGTGCAACTCGTTTGAACCATTGTTTGAACTGGCAGCTCTTCCCTGTTTAGTCACAAATTCATGCAAATCTAAATGCAGAGCACATTTAACCCTTTGAAGGAGCACAGTGCACTAACTATTGTCAGGGGGTCAGCATACTGGATGCTAATGTTGTCCCCATTCGTTTGGTCTCACCAAAAATAGAAAGATTTCCATATGGATGACCAGCACAGGTGTGTCCTTACTGCTAGTGCTTGTAGTCATTCACCAGCTGATGAATAAGGTGTGTAGGCGACTGAAAGGCATGATGAATTATTGGTTATTTCAGAGGTATGGCACGCACTTAACGCAGGACAAATCCTCTGTGAATTCAGGGCCAGAATATGCAGCCCGCTGTTTAGTGTCATCACACACATGACAAGTTCTTGGGAACATATAGGGACAGAAAGGCTGTGAGTCACTGGGGAGGAAATGGGTTGTTTAACTGACTCCCAGCGAGCTGCGAGGATATTTCCTGACTACAAGAATACTGTCATACAGGATTAAACTCACTGCTCTTTCTCTCACTGCAGTAGCAGTTCATACAGATGTTTTAACACTTTCAAAAGCAGGTTTACTACACTGCTGTTGAGGTGAGTTACCAAATAGTTGGAGAGCAAGAATATGTGTTTTTTTTTTGCTACTGTCTTCTTAGTCTCCTTCTTTTGTTATTATTGATTAAATCCGAGCAGAAGAGATCAGCTTTGAAGTTCTACTACTAATATAAATGTGAGGATGAGTCACCGAATATGTCTAATGTGATTATCCAATTGCCCCTGGAGGAAGGCTTTGGTAACAACCACCTGCATTTTTCATAACTGACTAAACATACAAATCTTAATTACTTTTTATGCAACCGATTTTTAGAATTCTTTCACCAGTTGTCTTTTACTTTTTCCACAGCTAAAACAGCTGTTGTTTTCTCAAACTATACCAAAAAAGGAGATGAATGATTAGACAAAGAAATCACAGTTAAATCAAATAGTTTGTGTCTTTGAATCTAACGTCTGAGAACCATCTGAACCAGGTACACAGCACACTGCTGACCGAGGCAGAAGAAACTATTGCCTCTTAAAAAATGACTCAAACAAAGATGCCAACCTGCCCTGTAGGAGGCACAACAGTACAGACTGTTTCCCCGGGAAACCATGAGACTGAGATAAATATTGCAGAGTAATTGAATCACTCAGATTATTTCCTGTGTGTGTGTGTTGCAGTCCCTGCACTACAAACCCTGAAGGACACAGAAATCTTTTTCAACTCATCTACTAAAGGAAACTGTATTTGTCCATTAGAACCATCAGAATTAGCTTCTCACTGCTACCAGGCCTATAGCTGTTTCTTTCCTCAGAGGGAGAAGAGGGGACCGGCACCCTCCTCCTCCTCCTCTCCTCTGTTACATAAGCCCGCTCCCTCTTGCCAGATTTGTTTAAAATTTGGTTGTGTGAAGCACAGAGTACAGGGCCAGCAGAGGAAGTGGTCGCTACAGACCCAGAATCTGAGATAACATGGAAGAGGAAGTGTGAGAAAGAAAAAGAAATGAGCAGAGAGATGCACAGTCAAGTGAGGTAGTAAATCCATGACTTTAAAAATGCAAGATCACACACCAAAAGGGTGGAAAGGTAACACAGAGTTTCCCTTCCAGACAAACACAAACACAGATTATGTAAACTCACCCCGGCAGTTACAAGACGGGCTGACAACTGTCAAAAAGTCCAAAAAGCACACCCTCTTGCACAAATGTGACACAGCTGCAGAGACGCTAACAGATAGAGCTGAACTTCTTGAAGCTGCATGTGTCCACCTAAAACCATCACCCACTAAGACCCCACAAGTCCCCACGCAGCCGATCATCTGAACCTGTCCGCAGAGAGCACACACATTACCTGAGTCCACCACTAGCGCTGTAGAGAAACACACACACACTCCTGCTGATCTCTCCAACTCAGACTGACTTCCCACAGTCCAACTGTCACTCTCAGCCTTTTCCTCAGAAAACTCCTCTATCCTCAGGGCTTCTCCTTCCTTCTCCCGTCCCCTCTGTTCCCTGTCTTTTTTCAGCAGCAGCCTCTCTTTCACTCCTGGGAGCTTTGACCATTTAAGGAGAAGGGCTCTGTATGCCTCTTTGGGCTGCTGTGGAGTGTGTGTCTTTGTGTGTGTGCTGCTGCTCCACTGATCATCCCCTCAACTAAAACCTGAAGAAAGTTAGAAAAGTATGTTATCTTTTCTGCAGGGTTTGTTTGGTTTCTCTAATCATAGTGTGGGAGCAGTAGAGGACAATTTTCTGCGTGTTGTTGTATGCGAAGGGCATGTTTGTGAGAGATTGATAGATAGATTGTGTCCATCCGATCTGTGTTTACCCTGCAGCCCGAGAGGAATCCACGCATCTACTTCCGAAGCTCTTGAAGTTCATTATTGTTTGGTAAACTGCATTGTCAAACCTCACACCATTTGTGCTGCTTTTTAGTGGTAAGAGATGTGGGTTTCAAGTGCTGCGATCATGCTTTATTTTGTGGAGAAAAAAGGAGCACAGCAGTCACATTGTTTGGAGGAACACAGCTGACGTTCACAGCGAATTACAGCATCACAATTTGAATTAACTTGAGCTGATCATCTTGAGTGCTACAGTGCAAAGGAACAATTTGTGTACACAAGTCAGATGTTCTTATTTAATTTGACTTGAGTGAAGATCTTCTTTTAACTTATCATAGGCACTGAGATTGTGTTGTTTTACCCCAAGCTAGTGGTGGAAGATGTATGCAGATTCTTACTTACTAAAGTACAACTACCTGTACAACAATGTAAAAATACTAGCATTATGATTAAAGTTCTGAAAGTGTTGTTAAAGTAAAATAAATCATTCAGCAAAAAAATGCCCTTATGACGACATAATGCATCTACATGTACTTGTAAGTAGCATTTTACTGTTGTAGCTGGTTGAGATGTAGGTAGTTTTAACTACTTTACAGTTAAAGTAGTTTAGTCCAGTAGTTCCCAATGTGGGGGTCCAGTCTCTTCAAAAGGTCACAAAATAAATCTAAGAAGTTGTGAGATGATTAACGGGAGAGGAATGAGGAAAAAACAAAGTTCTGCTTCGTTAAATGTTTCAACCCTTGAGCCACAAACTGGGGAAATCTTTTTTTTTTTTTTTGCAGCTGCTGACAACTTAACTGGCGCCAAGTATTTATCGTTTGAATGTGTATGGGGAAAGACAAGCCAAAAAAAGTTGGGTACCAATGGTTTAATTTATGTATTGTATGTATGTATTTTACACACACCATGATGAAGTTGTAAGCAGAGTAGTAAATAGTAAATAGTTGAAATAATGTGAAATGTTTTCATAGGAAACGTTACAATCGTATATAAATACTATACGTTAACAAACATATGCTTATAACTCCATTATAGTGTGTATAAACCATTTATTAAATGTTTTTAACCAAGAGTTACCCTGAAAAGCAACTACTAACTAGATAAATGTAACACATTTGAAAAAGTACAATATTCCCCTTTGAATTGTGGTGGTGTAGAACTATAAAGTAATATAAAATGAAAACACCCAATAAAATACAAATACCTCACAGTGTGAATAAATGCATGATATTTGTTTTTCACCTCTGCCTGTACCACTATGTCCAATTGCACTTTATCTTGAAATAAAGGGGTAAACACTATCTTATATATATGTAACACTAACATTTCCAACAAGCCAGTTAAAAAAACTCATAACTAATACAGAAATATTATATTTTACTGTAGAAGAGCAGGAGGGAGTCTTACCTTGCTGCAGCTGCCTCGTCCTTTGCCACCTGTAGGAGCCAGAGCACAGACAGCAAAAACAGTTGATTTGCATTTAACAGGAAAGCAAGTGCGATGCAAATGTCATGAGGCGGTTAAAAAAAGAAAAGTCAGAGAGAGAGAGAGAGAGTGTGTGTTTGTGAGAAACAGAAAGTGGAACAAATGGGAGACATAAAATGAGCTTTCTCTCCTGTAAGGCTGTTGCTGGCAGCAGGATTTTCATCTAATTGGTAGAACTAGTGTAACTCTTGTTTCAGGAAGTACCTCAACCCCCCTCCTCCACCTCTATAACTAGGGGCAACAATAACCTGGCAACCATTTCAAGTACATGAGTTGCTTGATCCGCTGGTTGAAAGCTGATGGCCCCAAGTAAAGGCTATTGTGTCGTCTGCTTTAGGTGCTCTCAGGATAAGGTTGGTAATATTGTGATACCAGGCAAAGAGCTAAACACCAGTGGCTCACAGGCTTTTATGCTGAGCACCATTAGAGCTGAACAACAATATGGCACTTTAAAGGTAATTAAAGAGGGAAGAACTGCAAATGAACCAGTATTTTTATTTTTAGGATATACAGTTAATAAAAACAACACTTAACTGCTTTTATGTTGCTTAGTTGAGTAATGCAGCATTTCACAGCCAGATTTTAAATCAATTACATAAATCATTGGGGGGAAAAAAAGAAGTACAGTAGATACTTGGAATGTGTTGGCAGCAAGTTCTACACGTTTGTCCTAATTTAACCTCATTTTCACTTCAGACACTGTCAGACACTTTTGTTTTTCTCTCCAGATCACAGACTTTTTCCCCTGGAAGTGTTCAACCTGACCTCACAAATTAATTCACATTCCAGCTACAGCGGTATTTCCACCTTTCTGTCATTTGTAGATTCCCCATTCAAGAGCGCTCTGTTTACAGCCTCCACACACAGAGAGAGCACTAGAGAACCACTATTCTAAATTATTTACATTCACTTTCTTTATTTGTCAGACAACCTGACTGTTTTAAACAGCAACAAAAAACCTAAAAACAGGTTTTACTTCTTTGTAATGTCACTATGATATGCTTAAAGTTGATTTAATATCTCATAGTAATGTTTTATTAGTGTATGGTAGATAAGGTAGGAATATAAAATATTTTTAAAGGCCTTAATGGAGGCAGAGGACTCCATTGTACCCTAGATGGTATCGAAAATACAAAAAGCACTAGCACGGGAACTGCAGCACTAATCCTCAATTATTATTACACTAATTTATTATTGTTAGTAATGCATAAGGGATAATAATAATAAAGGATAAGGGATGTACTCTAATACTGTACTCTAATTTTGTACAGACATCCCCTGACTTTTTCTCTAGCGCCACCATGAGGTTGACATTTGTGATTTTATTGAAGAATGTGCTAATTAGCGAATGTTTCTTCATTCTAACATACTAAACTAAGATGATACATAAGGAACTGTAAACTACATTTGCTTAAAGTAAGTTTATAGCTTGCCACATGGGGACAGCTCCAAATAAGATGAAACCTTTCTCAAATGAACAAAGACTGGATTGTGTTATACACCATACACATCTTGACGTACAGTACCATCAGACTGGAACTGCATTTATGACAGCAATGCCTACATAAAATGTTTATTGTTCATGGTGCTGCAGGTTTTTGTGACGTGGATGCAGCTTCATTTGATAAACAAAAGCCCATGCTGCACCAGACAATGTAAACTTTAGACTGAAGGCTATAAAATAAACCAACAAGTGACATGGCGACAACTGCTGTCTGTTCATTTGAAATATAATTTTCCCCCTTGAGGCCACCCACTGGTTCTCAGCAACCTCAACATGCTCCAAACTCTGCTCTAGGCTACATCTCAAACAAATAGGACTTGGCCCTCTGAGCCATCAAGGGACACTTTCTTATGGAAGGAGAATTTGGAAATATCTGCCATGACCTTTCCTGACTAGGGTTGGAAGAAAATTTACCTTTTCTTTGACTGAAAATGTAAAATGATTAGTATTGGAAAATATGTGATGACACTTCTTTTGTAGTAAGTTAAAGTCAATGTTGTTTCAAAGAAAAATCCCATTTGATCTTGAATACACTTATTTCTATAAGACTGGCACCACTCTCATGTCTGCACTTAGCTTAGCCTAAACACTGGAAACAGGGGGAAACAGCTAGCCTGGCTCTGTCTGAATATAACAAAATCTGCACCTCATAAGGTCACAGGGCTCAACATGTTACGCAGTCAAACTAAATGTGCAACAAGTTTTTCCAATTCCTTTTAAGAAAGTATTATCTTTTATTCACATTTCAATTGTTTAGCTTTTATTGAATCCCTACTGTAATGCACCTAAAAGCCTGCAGTGTGTACTTTGTGAACTACAGATCTCAGATTTCTCAGCGTCTTTATATAAACTTCCTCAAAGCACTTAAGAACCGTTCAGACGTAACTGTAAAATGGGCTGAACCACAGGCAGTGAGAAGCGAAAACAATGACTCACAAAAACATTGATTTAGCCCTACCAACTCAAAAAAATAAATTATTCAATAATCAATTAAAATGTGATGTAGCTAAAAATACTTGACCCTTGCCATGTTTACTTAAAAAAATCTTTCTGGTCTCCTTAATTTTCTTCATGGCCCCCTTTGATAGATAACATACACTCCCTCAGAGCTTATGCTCTCTTCCTCCTCACTGCACCAGCTGTTTTGTGCAATGTAAATATCTGCTGTGCCTATTTTCAGACATCCTCAGGGATTACCATTAGAGAAGGAAGTTGCTTTAATTCATCTGTGTCTCACAGTGTACCCCATAACCACGATAACACTGAGGCTATATTTCTGTAACGCAGCCATCATACCATTCATGGGTAGCTGTGGAGGCTCACAGACTTCTGGGATTACAGGAGATGGAGGAGGACTCTCCGTTCTGTCTCTGTCTTCAGGCTCCACATCGGACTCAGCCGTAAAGCCTGCTGCGTCTGTTCCAGGATCAGATGGCAGACTGGGTCCTGGAGACTTACATATGAGATGTTAAGAGAGATAACAAATCAACTTCATGTGTAGACATTTTATTATGAAAAAAATATGAAATCACTATTATTTCCTTAATACTAGTGCAACTACTTCTACTACAACTACAATTTTAAGGTTCTATGACTTATTTACAGTTTATAGTCCATTTAGGGGATTTTTTTAACTAATCTTTGCTATTTTCTTTTTAAATACAAAGTTTTACATCCTAAGGCCATTAAAATTATAAAAATGAAACAAATGAAAGAATTCGTTCCATGGTGCAGTTTAAGTTTGTACCTCTGCAAGTTTAAAGGTAATGTGGCTTATTAAGACTTTTATGCAATTTTTTGTATCTTTCACAAAGGCAAGATTAATCATTGCATGATGTCAAAAGGATTTGTTAAATGTAAAGTGTATACACACACTCTTTTTATCAAGTGTTGGAGCACAGAGACAAGCTGTGTCTCAAGAGTGCAAGTTATGTCATAACCTCAACTCAGAACCTTTAATACCAGCATGATTTATTCTGGCAGATTGGATTTATGTGCTCTTCATGACAAAATAAATCCCTGATTATAAAAATGCAGCAGTTTGAGATGACGTCTGGATTACATTACCTTAGTTCTCTGGTGCTTATGTTTTCAAATTGTGTGTGTGATTCTAGACACCCATAACAATATAAAAAATTAAATTGTATGTTTTTATACTTTGCTTTGTTTTCCACTGTATTTTATGCATATTTTACCAAAATGAACATCCATGAACATACTACAGAACTAACCATTGTGACCTTCTAGCAATCAAGATCATTTTAAAAAATTACAATTTTCTTACTCTACTGTAAAGCAAACACTTATTTTTAACACAGACCTGAGTTGGAGCTTGTTCTGTGATTCTGGCCTCCAGAACATTGAGCTGTTTGTCAGTGTGAGCTGCTCTGTCCAGAGCTTCCTCCACCCTCTGGGTGATGCTCTCCATCCTCACTCTCACCTGGCTCACCCTCTCCTCGCTCTCTCTCACCTGCTCGGCGGTCACCAGGGCGCTGCTGACCATCACCTCCATCCTTCTGAGGGTCGCCAGAAGGCCGTCTGCAGTCACCTGAAGCTGGGTTTGCTCCTGTTCTGGGGCTGCTCCACCTGTAATCTCGGTGGACACCGCTGCATCTCTCTGATCCTTCACAACCTTCTCCACAGCTCTGTCTTGTTCCCCTCTCTCAGTGCTGGTCCCCTTGTCAATATGAAGAACTCCACTGCTGTTCTTTTGCTCGGCAACACACTCCTGTGCAGATCTTAGAGAGGCTTGCAGGTGGCAGACCTGCTCCCTCATATCAGTGATCGTCTTCTCTGCTTGCTGGAGCTTTGCTTGTGTCTCAGAGAGCTCCTGGACTGATTTGGTTTCTTTTGTCCTAGCCTTAGCCCCCTCTACGCTGCGGGCTTTCCACCAGTTCACCACAGCCACCTTCTTGGACTCCTGGTTCTGAGTCTGGCTTTGCTTTTGCTCCTTTTGCTCCCCTTTTGCTCTCCACCGCTCCTCCACCTTCTCCCCTTTCTCCTCCCACACACACTTGTGTAGCTCCAGCTCTTGCAGCCTGAAACCACCACCACAGCTTTATAAACATCTCTTTTACACACTGTTATGTCTGTAGTTACCAAGGGGTACTAAAATTGCACTTATCCCTGATAGGGTCTAACACAGACACGATAGTAACTCCTATGGGTTGCGTAATGGAGATGCCCATAAATACGCTGTCACAACCAGACACCCCTTTTATTAGCTGGAGGAAGCTTGTCAGAACAGAGACTAACATCAACCAAATCTAGTCTATTACCATAACAGGAGAAAGGGAGGTAAAAAACTCACATACACATTGACAAGCTGCTGCTTGATGCTTGCCTGTTGCTGCTGGCGGTGAGGAAAAGGCCTCTCCTGTGTTTCTACAGGAGCAGAGTCCTGTGTCTGAAAGAAGACACGAGAGATAAGACAGATTTTTATAAGTACGTGTTACTGCGTATTACAATTATTGTTCTCTGTCTTCTCACTCCTCACCCTCTCAGGATACTTATTGTGCAGAAAATGAGCTATTTCTGCAGATTTGATCCTGTGGATGATGCTCTGAATATCATCACTGTGCGTGTGCAGGGATGGGAGGCTGATGTCGTCTAGAGCTCTGTGATGCTGCTGCAGACAAAGAAGACAACATGAAACTCAGCACAGTGAAAAAATGACCTGTGGACAACGAGCATTTCCTACCGGCTGCATATCTTGCATCTCACTCTGCAGAGAGCGGTGGTTTGGAGGATCTCGACTGTAGAGACTCTGAGGGCTGATACAGTTTCTGTCATACCTGTCAGAAACCAGCAGATGAGATGGCATTTCATACACAAAAATATATTTTATAAATCATAATCTTATCCTAATCACTAACGTCCAATCAATTTTCTTTCTTGGAAATAGTCAAAAAGGTTTCTTTAAAATATTTAAAGGACCAGTGTGTAGGATGTAGTGGCATCCTGCAGTGTAGTTGCAGACTGCAACAAACTCGCCTCACCCTTACACACTGGACCTTTAAGTTTCTTAGATAACTATGATAGCTGACACATCCCTCTGTTAAAGGGACACCCCTACCCCGATTATTATCATCAGGGCAGTACTTTCAAACAGAAAACCTTCATTAGAAAATTTGAACTGTGTGGTAATTATTAGTCTTATTAAATATGCATTATGGGAAATATAGGCTCCAGTGTTTACGGAGTTTAACCCATTCTGGAGACAAAAGTCCCTGCTTCTTCTGCTTTCATTTTGATTATTCTTCTTGTATCTATCTCTTGGGAGTCCCTGCATTGCAATGCTAAACTGCTGGATTCAGGGGAATACAGTACATTTATCTTTGTTATTAGTAATTCGGACATTAATGTAGATTTAAATATGTTTTTATCCAAATAGACGTATAAATGAGGTTCAATTCAACCCACAGTAGATTGTAGTAGTAGAAGGAGAAGCCTTTTGAGAAAAAGTGCAGCCAGCCAGTGCAATGTTTCATCTGTGCCATTTATTAAGATTACCTCAAAAGAACTTGGCGTGAATGTTCCTGTAACCTCATCAGTTCTGACTGCAGACCCTGCAACACCAGAACAGCGTTAAGTTACGGCTAAAATGTACATTCAAAACCATTTAATAAAGTCTAAACACATGCAAGATGTAACATATTTTAAAAAAGAGATTATGAGGCTGATTGTTGTAATACTTCAGTCATCACTTTAAATTAGCCTTATCACATTGCATTTGAAATTCATGATTTAAAATGATGCACTGTAATTATACACTATATTTTCTTTACTTCTTTACTCTATATCATTCCATTTTACCAAAGATTCAAATTCAAAGTGCCGTCTCTGCTTTGTGACAAAGCGTCAAACATACCTCGATCATGTTGTGATTCTCCACATGAGAGCTCTTCAGCTTATCCATAAGAATGTCTTTCTGTGTGGGAACATTTGAAAATAAAGTTGAGAAACAAAATAAAAATGTGAATAGATTTTTTCTGATGAAAATACCCAGATAGACCAACCTTTGTGATTTCTCTGTCTCTCAGCGTCAACATAACCAGGGTTTCCTCAAGTTCGGCCTGTAAAAATTTTAGATGTTTAACTAAAATTCAAACTCATAATGCAGGGACAAAAACAAGCATGTTTTACTGATCTGTTCCTACCCTCAACTCAGCGTTGATCTTCCTCAGTTTGTTGATGCTGTCTTCAGAACAAGTCCTTTCAAAGCTGAGTTTTTCATTCTGTGTGGACACAATTTTATTATATGAAAAAAAAAAGAACATAAACTTTAGTGTTCACATTTGGACTGACATTTCAGATCTACATTACCTTGTCTTCAAGCCTCCTCATGTGAACCTTCAGGCATTCAACCTCATTGGTCTGAAAATGTAAAAAGATTTAAACGTAAATATGTAGTTGCATTACAAAAATGAACTGAACATAGAAAGTAGCATCAATGGGAGACAGTTGAGTTCACGATGTACCAGTTTGGTGCAGCTGGTCTGGCTGCGGCTGGCTCTCTCTTGGGCTTCTTTAAATGCCCGACGGGTCTCCTCCAGTTCTTCTGTCAAGGATCTGGTTCTCACTGCTGACCGCTGAGCACTGCACACACCCAAAAAACATGAGAGCTTCTTATTACAGAAATTGGGAGAAGTGACACCTTCATTAGGCAACGTGAAGTCTTTAAATTCAGGCATAAAAGGTGTGATAGCCAGTCTTTTGTCAGGTAAAATGAACACGTATTTCTTAGTCTACTCCTGCTTTACACAGTCAATCTTTTAGTATTGGCTAGGTTTGAACCTGCCTTTTCACTTTTTTCATCCAAGCTTCTAACTCAGATAACTGCCTCCTTAACTAGCCAAAAAATGTGTGTGAAGTAAAGACATGTCACTTGTAAGTCATCTGAGTCAGGTTGCATTGAAACTGTGCTTCAGGTTCGAATTAAACTGTACTTCTGAGTCTGACCAATGAGTATTCAGGATCTATGATGTAGATTTTTGCTCTTTCGGCTCCTTTTTGATCATAAAATAAAACGAGATAATGATGTGCTTTCATGTGGACTGACAGTGTAATCCAACATACTGGAGTTAAATTAGAGAAACAGTAACCCTTCACCTGGCCAGCTTTGCTCGCAACTCAGTGATCTCCAGAGTGAGCTGCAGGTTTATGTCTTCACACTGAGCCACCGTCCTCAGCAGGCTGCTGTTCTGCTCACTCAGCTTGCGATGAGCGTGCTTCAGTTCGGCCACTGTGCCTAACAGGTCTTTTCCATCACTGAAGCCAAACAAACAGTTAGTGGTGAAGTATGACAACACACTGATGATGGAAGGTAAACTCAGTGCAGTGATTAAAGGAGTGAAACAACTGACCAGGAACACTGGTGGCTTTCTGAGGACGCAGCTTTGCTTTGGGAAGATGAGAAATCCAGCCCTGAGAGGAAATCCGGTTCAGTGAATTAAGTAAATAAGACATTTCTCAGAAGTCTGAACAAAACAGTGAAAGCCTACCGTTTGCAGGCACTTTAGAGGAGTCTGGCCAAGATACATGACTGCTATCCACATCAGTACTGAAACAGAGGAAGAGTCATTAGTTCCCACAGCTCATTTTAATCAATTTAATCAACAATACACTAGTTGGAAACAAATTAATTTAACTGGACATGTCCTGCTGTGTTTGAAAAATTAAAATCAACTTAAAATAAAATTAAGGAATTTAATTAACTCTAAATTAGGGATTCATGATAATTACAGAGGCAGATAAATGATCGGCCGATAATGAGAATTTTATATTATTATAAATGATCTCGCTAAATTAAATTACAGCCAATGAAAGGCAAAGTATGTTTGTGAAGTTTTTGATATACTTTACTAGAAAAAAATCACTACTAAATAAATGAACATTTTAATAGTCTTAACTTTTGATTGTTTTTCTTGTGTTGACAATAGTAATGTCAGATTTGATTAGATCAGAACTATTAAATATTAAATCATCCATCTTTGCTCACTACATTTTAGCCTTTCTTACTAGCAGGTGTGTAAAAACTACAGGTTATTAACTTACTTTTGAAATACAAAAATGTAAAATGATCAGTTATCTTATTGGTGTCTGCCATGAGAAGCAGGTAATTATTGATTATCGTATTGGCTGAACAAAAATCCATATTGTGCATTATCTGCTCTAAATACACAGAAGTTTGTCGCAGGTCATCTTGCCTTCTTTCCTTTCTGCTGCATGAAGAGCAGTAGTAAAAGAAGTATTAAGATATTTTACTTAAGTAAAGGTACCAATTACGCAGTCTAAAAACACTCTATTAGAAGTAAAAGTCCTCCATTAATTTGACTTAAAGCAGCTATACAAGGAACTTTCATTTTGTGTTGATTCTGGCGGCCCCTGTGGAAAAAAAGCGGTAGTGTTTCAATCACCACATCGTCTGATTTCAAGAGGAATCTGACCAAATCCAACCCAGTATTAGGATGGTATTATTTGATCATTTAGGTCAGTATTATTAAAATAAAAAATAACTATTTAAAAACTCCTTGAAGTACATTTAAACGTCCAGTGTGTAACATTTAGGAGGATCTATTAGCAGAAATGGAATATAATGTTCATAGGTATGTTTTCATTAGTGTATAAACACCTGAAAATAAGTATTGTTGTGTTTTTATTACCTTCGAAAGAGCAGTATTTATCTCTTTTCATGGAGGCTGCCATGTTTCTACAGTAGCCCAGAATGGACAAACCAAACTCTGGCTGTAGATAGGGCCTTTTGAGTTTTTTTAGATCCGTGGCCACCGTAGTTTCAGTTAGCTGCAATCTGAAACTTCACCGCTAAATGCCACTATGTCCTACACACTGGTGCTTTAATTGGTGCACTGGCTGACTGCATTTTACAACATAATACAATTTTATGTGATTGTTATAAAAATGTGACACTGCAGATGCCTCTAGATTTGGAGATAATTGAGGATAGTGGAATACATTTAGATGACTACCTTTCAGCCATGTAAAGGTGGTGACTTAATATAAAGGTGGTAACTAAATCAAGGTCCATGATGCTTAACCCTAACCCTACATGACATCCAGGTTTGTCTCACCTGTCCTGGCTGCACTGTGCGATCCACCCCCTCATGGTGGAGTGGAAATTCTCTCTGCTCACATGTGGGTCCTGACAATCAGGGTCAAGCAGCCGTCGGAGGGAAGCCAGCCGGTCCTGCTCCGAACTCTGAGCTGTCATGGTCTGCAGGTACTGAATGATGGTGGAGGCCAACACCTCTCCTGCAAGACGACAGAGACACAGGAACCATGATTCAGGGTTCATATGATAACTTCAGTCTGTTTTGTTGAACTCAACATAAGCCTGTTTACCTGTGCTGGAGGTGTTACATGCATTATACATGATGTCAAGGAGTTCATGTTCAGAGAATCCACTTGTGTCTTTATTGTCCTCATCTCTTGTCCCACAGCCGGGTGACTCCCACACTAAACATGTAGAGTTGGACAAAAGTTAGTGTACATTCATGCACAGAAAGTATACATGTAAAGCAAGTTAGTATACTGTATATAGATTTGTTTGATACGTTAATAAAAGAACAAAGCAAAGCAACTTACCGTCATTGCTGTCAGACATTGTGCTTCTTTCTCCTGAATTCCCCTGACTGTCACGTTCCTACATGACCTGACATTTAATTAATGATAATTAATTAATAAACATCAAATACATCTTCACTTATTATTTATAGAGACCAAACCTCGCAATAGAAATTCAGCTAAATCTTAAAACAATCTACCGTCATCTCACAGTGGTACAACATTGACAAATATGAGGTTAATTGGCTCTCATAGGCAATAATGATGGCAACACTGTGTTAAAAGAATAACATGTTTTTAAAATAGCTAAACCAAATGTCGATCATACCAAATCTTTATCACTAAAAAATTATTCTGCCTGCATTACATAACCAATATTCTCTTCAAACTTGTGCACAATGAAATTATAACCCCTTTTGTTTGTCTAATTGTGACTTTTCAAATATCACTTTAAAAATAATAATAAGTCATAAAAATAAATTCTTACTTCTCAGTCCGGGCCAGTTCCTCTGTAAAGAAAAACGAGATTGTCAAATGTTAAATTAGGAGCTTTTCATTTTCATTAGTATTTTTCTAGTCCTCCTCTGATTCACTGTGATGGAAGCACAAGAAGTCTTCAAGATGCTCTTATGCTTGTTTTCACTGCTTCACATCAAAACCAGCTGACATCCCCCAGCTCCCTTCTCCACCTCCCCCACCTCATCCCACTCCTGCCAAAATGCTGCCCTGCAGAGGTCTGTGACAATGATGCAGTTAATGGATTTCAATTTAAATTCACCGGTTTAACATATCAAATGCACAATCAGTCTTTGAAGGATTTCTTCCACATTTTTAACTTTGAATTTAGCAAATGTAGGGATTAAAATGTGCAGTCAGTGTGTGGCAAGGGAAGTTACTCTCATTAAAAAATATTGCTATTGAGACTGGTGAGTGGTTCTTTATATATTTAACTTGTATCTAACATGTTGTTGAGCTTGTAAATAAACTGATATTGAAAATTTTAAATGTTCTTTGTTTATTGCTATTATTACAGTGTTTTCATCGAAGAGCATCGCGTCTTGAAATCCTGGAGGAACTGCTTCAGGCTGCCGATCGATCTGACCGGACACATTTCCAGTTGCACCGTCCGTCTGTTTGTTTCCTGTCGGAAGCATGAAGTAGCTACCAACAGACAACGGGCGCAACATTTCTTATAGTTTTTTTTTTTTTATAAATCTAAACTTCAAGTGGATTTTCCCTCAAGTCAAGATGTCTCGGGGCTCTATCGAGATCCCTCTACGGGACACGGATGAGGTAAAACTCGTGTAAAGTGTAAAGTTGATGTTTTGTTGTTTGACTCGGTGAAACCTCGCTGCACTGTTAGCCGTGTATGCTAACTGCAGCTAGCAGCAGCTAATGGGCTGCACACAACACAACACAGCGGCGTATCTAATGTAACGCAAAGTCGGCGTTTTGGTCCGTATTTGCAAGTGGACGCGAACGCTTAGCGCCAGTAATGTTTAATACAACAAGTGTAGAAGTAAACAAACATTATTGAAGTCTGTACTAATGTGAGCTCCAGCTCGGAGGGAAGTTAAGAGGTCAGATACTGAGAGGTTTTCTGTCATTGCTGCTCTTAATGAAGCAGTCCACACTGAATCCAACTCTTACAGAGCTCCTTGTTCATTTAAGAACTTGGAAATATGAAAGGAGAGCCCATAACTTATAATATCTTTGGCATTTTAAGTTACAGCAGTGACAGTCATAGCCTTATACAGCATCATCGTGTATTATTTTAAGTTAAGTAGGCATTAAAAGTATTGAAACAGCTACAGGGCTGTCATTTGTTGGGGCTCTTGAGTTTGTATTGCTTTATACAGAGAGAGGTTTACAATATGTTGTCTACCCTTAGTATAACAGTACAATTCAACAGCACTACAGCCTCCAACATGACCATAAAGTTGAATCAACACCTCTTTAAAACACTTTAAACATTACCTTCATTAATGTAGGATTTATTGCATCAGGGCTGTTTATTAAGTTAGTTAATTAGCACAGTTTAAGCGTAAGTGTGTCTAATGAAGTGACAGTGTAGTGTGTATGTGATATTGTATGTTTTCTGTACGTGGTGTAGATTGACAGGTGAATAGGAGAAGAGCGTGGGTCGTCAATACACAACAAATGACTCAACTGCACACTGTCCTTTTCACCTGCAATCAGAGATATTTAATAACAGTGTTACGGTACAAAGGCCTTCATCACTGCAAGTGAAGAGGACAGTGTTGTTTGTTCTGCAAAATCAATGGAAAAACTGTTAATGGATACAGTACCGACAGTTTTGGCTAATGCAGTGAATTAAATAGCTTACAGCATAAGGTACTTTATTGTGTTGATGCAAAAGTTGTGTAAAAATACGACAATACCGTGAAGCAGCAGTGCACAGTGTTTTGCAACATCACCCACAGTGGCCTCATATACTGACGGTTGATAAATTGATATTGTCTTGCAGTATGCATCATTATATTTTCTAACCCTCATCTGTAACACTCTGAAATGACACATAGATTATGAGTTTTATCAGACATCGTTGCTTAATGCCTTGAATAAATTGTTTCATGCAGGTTATCGAGCTCGACTTTGACCAGCTGCCAGAAGGAGACGAGGTCATCAGTATCCTGAAGCAGGAGCATACGCAGCTGCACATATGGATCGCTCTGGCGGTGAGTCAATGGAGCTGACACATTCAGTGGTTACACTTTATTATCATAATGTAGAATAGTAGCTTGATTTATGTAAAGAACTGTACACAGTTGTAACAGTTTACGCTCTGTCTTTTGCAGTTGGAGTATTACAAACAGGGCAAAACGGAGGATTTTGTCAAGCTGTTAGAGGCCGCTCGTATTGATGGAAACCTCGACTACAGAGACCACGAGAAGGACCAGATGACGTGTCTGGACACATTGGCGGCGTATTATGTCCAGCAAGCACGTAAAGAGAAAAACAAAGATGCCAAGAAGGAGCTCATCACGCAGGCCACGCTGCTCTATACTATGGCAGACAAGATCATCATGTATGATCAGGTAAGGAAAAGTCTGTCAGAGTGGGTGACGATGAGAGAAAACTGCTATGGCTCCCACTAATGTTGCAGTTTAAGTATAAATATAAAATGCTTTCGGCTCACTCAGAACCATTTGTTGGGACGAGCCTGTTTCTGCCTGCTGGAGGGAGACAAGATGGACCAGGCCGATGCTCAGTTCCACTTCGTCCTCAATCAGTCCACCAACAACATCCCTGCTTTGCTTGGCAAGATAACCAAACAAAAAAAATAAGATATCATTCTTGACCACTGCGATTGAGTCACTCAAATAATGATGCTGTTGTCGTTCGACAGGTAAGGCCTGCATCTCCTTCAATAAAAAGGATTACAGAGGAGCACTGGCATATTACAAAAAGGCTCTACGTACGAACCCCGGCTGCCCAGGTAAACATGTTACCTGTATATCCTCGAAACAGAACCCTCTATTACTACTACAGCGTTATTTATACTTACTACTACTACTACAAGGGCCTGGTTGATACAAGATATTTATATCTGAGTATTAAAAAAAGCATAAACAAAATAAACTTGTTAGTTTAAAGATCCCTTAGAGAGTAAAAATTGACAGTTAACTGTCGATTACGGTAAGTAATTATAAATAACAAAAACACAAACACTTAACTGAATAGTTATAATCGTTATCTATCACAATCACTTGTTTAGTTTATAAAATATTAGAAAAGGGTGACAAATTCCCAGCACGTCATCCCAGAGCAGGAGGTCGCTTCTTCAGGTAACTTGAAGATATCAATTTTACAATGAAATTAAATGGAGAAAAGTAATAAATGGCATAAATAATTAATAGATGATCAAAACTGTTTTCTGTCTATTAAATAATTGGTTAATTGTTTCAAGTATACATAAAGTTGCAGCTGATCAAACATTCCTTTTTTCATATTTGCAAACTCAGATATCTGTGATAAATAAAAATATATCACACATATCGACCAGGCTCTTAACTCCTGCTACTGCTATCATTGCATTTCTCATACAGAGAGACGTGTTTCAGATCATTCCTCACCTTTCTTCTGTCTTGTTCCTGTGTCTCTGTCCAGCTGAGGTACGGCTGGGGATGGGCCACTGCTTTGTCAAACTCAACAAACTGGAGAAGGCTCGTTTGGCTTTTGGTCGAGCCCTAGAGCTGAACTCCAAGTGTGTGGGAGCTCTCGTCGGTCTGGCGGTTTTAGAGCTCAACAACAAGGAGGCAGATTCCATCAAGAACGGAGTGCAGCTCCTGTCTCGGGCCTACACCATCGACCCCAGCAACCCCATGGTGCTCAACCACCTTGCCAACCACTTCTTTTTCAAAAAGGTACTCTCGTTGTCCTTGAAACACTGAGACAAATCCAAACCAGAGCGTTATTTAACTTTTATTCACACCTGCTTGTGGTTTCATTTATCATTAGGATTACAGCAAAGTGCAGCATCTGGCCCTCCACGCTTTCCATAACACCGAGGTCGAGGCCATGCAAGCGGAGAGCTGCTACCAGTTAGCTCGCTCATTTCATGTGCAGGTAAGATCCTAACTGATCCCGAGGCAGCACACTGTTTGTTCCCTGCGTCACTTTACATCTCTGATGTCTCTGTTCTCCTTTTCTCTTCAGGAGGACTACGACCAAGCGTTTCAGTATTACTACCAGGCCACTCAGTTTGCCTCCTCTACCTTTGTGTTGCCATTCTTTGGCCTGGGACAGATGTATGTGTATCGAAGAGACAAAGAGAACGCGGCACAGTGCTTTGAGAAGGTTTTAAAGGCCTACCCCAACAACTACGAAACTATGAAAATTCTGGGGTCTCTCTACGCAACATCCGAGGATCAGGAAAAGAGAGACATCGCCAAAGTACGTATTCTGTACAGATGATTTCATCGCAGTTGCAGTCATATGCGTTATTAAGGCAGTTGATGCTGAATGCTCTTATTTCACGGTTTGTTCCTCAGGGTCATTTGAAGAAAGTAACAGAGCAGTACCCAGACGATGTGGAGGCGTGGATCGAGCTGGCTCAGATCCTGGAGCAGACTGACATTCAAGGAGCGCTGTCCGCGTACGGCACAGCCACCCGCATCCTGCAGGAGAAGGTGCAGGCCGACGTTCCCCCCGAGATCCTCAACAACCTGGGGGCTCTTCACTTCAGACTGGGCAACCTTGGAGAGGCCAAGGTAGCTCTCAATATACAGTACAGCTTATTTCAAATTTATTCTCTCTGTTATCCTGGAGTATGTAGAACACTGCATATTTATCATTAACAACAGTGGTATTTCAAGGATGGGTCACGTCTTCTCTCCCACAGAAATACTTTCTTGCATCTCTCGAGCGGGCCAAAGCCGAAGGAGAGCATGACGAGCATTACTACAACGCCATTTCTGTCACCACCTCCTACAATCTGGCCCGCCTGTACGAGGCAATGTGCGAATTCCACGAAGCTGAGAAACTTTACAAAAACATCCTGAGAGAGCATCCTAACTATGTGGACTGTAAGCATGCAGCATTATACAATAAAAAGTGAGAGCAAGAAGAAGAAAAGTGTTTGCACTCTGACAAATTGCTTCCATTTTTGGCCTGCAGGTTATTTGCGTCTTGGAGCCATGGCTCGCGACAAAGGAAATTTCTACGAAGCTTCTGACTGGTTCAAAGAAGCCCTGCAGATTAATCAGGTACTTTGTCACATGTTGTATCAATATAATAACATCAGAATTTAAAAAATGATCCGATGTTAAAGTCTCTTCAACATGATCAGATGTTTTGTTTGTTTGGTGCAGGATCATCCGGACGCCTGGTCCCTGATAGGGAACCTTCACTTGGCCAAACAGGAATGGGGTCCGGGTCAAAAGAAGTTTGAGCGTATTCTGAAGCAGCCGTCCACGCAGAACGACACCTACTCCATGCTGGCTCTGGGTAACGTGTGGCTGCAGACTCTGCACCAGCCAACCAGAGACAGAGAAAAGGTAATTAGTTGTGATAATTTGTTAGTGGATGCGCTCCCTATTTCAAGCAAGGCCATGATAAAACTCTGTGGTAAACCCTGAAGTGTGTGGGTGTGGGTGTGTGTAGGGAAATAATAGAGCGTGTTTTTTGTCTTTGACAGGAAAAGAGACACCAGGATCGAGCCCTGGCGATATACAAACAAGTCCTGCGAAATGACTCCAAGAACCTCTATGCTGCCAATGGCATCGGTCGGTTGAGCTTTATTGTTTTTTTAAATATTTTCATTAGTTCTGTTGTATGTGTATGAAGTATTAAACATACATGTCTTGTGTCCAGGTGCCGTCCTGGCCCACAAGGGCTACTTCAGAGAGGCTCGTGACGTGTTTGCGCAGGTGAGGGAGGCAACAGCAGACATCAGTGACGTCTGGCTAAACCTGGCTCACATCTACGTCGAACAGAAGCAGTACATCAGTGCTGTGCAGATGGTGAGGGGCCTCACTTGTGATTAGTTATAAAAAAACGATTCTTTGTTCATGTTTTTTCTGTAAAGTTGATTGTTTTATTCTGCTCCACAGTATGAGAACTGCCTGAAGAAATTTTACAAATATCAGAACACGGAGGTGCTGCTGTACCTCGCAAGGGCGCTCTTCAAATGTGGGAAACTCCAAGAGTGCAAGCAGATGCTGCTGAAGGTAACAAGAAGCAAAAATGAAAGGCTTTTATTTTATGCTACAATATGAGGGGGGGTATAACTTTGTTCTTCCAATGTGTTTTTCAACAAGGCCCGCCACGTGGCGCCCAGCGACACGGTGCTGATGTTCAACGTGGCCCTGGTGCTTCAGAGACTGGCAACTCTTGTGCTGAAAGATGAGAAGAGCAACTTGAAGGCTGTACTCAGTGCTGTCAAAGAGCTGGAACTGGCTCACAGGTACTGGAATTAAACTTGATTTAGCCTTCCTCCTCCCAGTCTGATCCCCGGGCTGTCTGTGCCTCATCCGGCAGTTTCATTTCTCTCTTCCTCCTCCTCTCCCAGGTATTTCAGTTACCTCAGCAAGGCCGGAGACAAGATGAGGTTTGACCTCGCTCTTGCTGCCTCTGAGGCCAGGTCAGTCTGAATTTACTCTCATCACAGCTTATTACAAAAGTGAATAGTGATTAATACATCAGTGAGTGATTTTGTTTGTTTTTAAGAAACAGAAATAACGACACAAATACAAACTATAATTGCACTTATGTTTTTTATTATTCCACCCATATTGTCTTCTAACTGTATGTGTAGGTTTGTTTTTCACTACAAATGTAGTTTAAGTTTATTACATTTAATTAAATACCTTAAAACAGACATTACACTTTGACTTTGACTGACAAAGTCTAATTTCACACTCAATGCAGGCACTAAAAGTAGTTATTTTAAGCTAGTATCAGCAGATATTAATAGTTTGCTGGGGTATTGGTCCATCTCTACATTTGATTGTAATGTTTTACATGGGGCTTGTGCTGGAGTTGTGTTCATTTAGTGCAGGTTGTAATATCAGTTGGGGTTTGGGTGTATTGTGGGGTTGCAGGCAGTGCTCTGACCTGCTGAGTCAGGCTCAGTACCACGTGGCAAGAGCCAGAAAGCAGGATGAGGAGGAGAAGGAGCTTCGGGCCAAACAAGAACAGGAGAGGGACCTGCTGCGTCAGCAGATGATGAAAGAACAGGTACTTATGGTGCTCCGTAAAAACTTTTTGGTAGCAGCTCACCATGACTAGGTTTTTATTTTAAGCTACAAAAAAAGGCTTCTCATTAATTGGTTGGCTTGTCCCCCTTTTAAAATTCATTAGGAGGCAAAACGGAGCAGAGAGGTGGAGGAACAGAAAAAGCTCCTGGAGCAGAGAGCACTGTACGTGGAGAAGACCAAGAACCTGCTCACCTTTGCAGAGGGATCAAAGGAAATGGCGAAAGAAAAGAAGAAGGGAGGCGGTGGTGGTGGACGTGTGAGTGTTAGCATTGATAGGAGACTCATTAACAGACACTTAAGCTGCACTGAATGCAGAGTGGATAAATACTTATTTTCTTCATCTCTAAGCGCAAGAAAGGAGACATGGATGAGTTTGTCAACGATGACTCTGATGAGGACCTGCCACTGAGGAAGAAGAAGAAAAGAAAGGGCGGCAGTGGCAGTGAGCAGGAGGAGGGCGAGGACGGAGAGAAGAAGTCGCGCAAGAAGAGGAGGAGGTGAGTCTGCTGCACTGTGGTTTATTTATCACTGCTGAACAAGTCACATGAGATACTCAGAGTAAATGTTGCCCTGCATTTCAGACCTGCCAGAGGAGGAAATGACAGTGATGATGAGGAAGGAGGATCACGACCCAAGAAGCAACGTAAACCCAAAGAACGCAAGAGGATTGAAAAGGTCCTTTGAGTTTTCTTGGCTTCTGTTCTTATATTGTGATTAATGTTCTTTAAATCCTTCTGAAATATGTTGCCAGGCCTAAGTTCTGTACATTTTTCTCCTTTTTAGTCCCAGCCTGAGCGTCTGCCACCGTCTCTTAAAGGAAAGATCAAGTCTAAGGCCATCATCTCGTCTTCTGAGTCCTCTTCAGATGAGGATGGGTTGAAAATAGCTGAAGACAGGTAAAAAGTATAAACTTAAGTGAGAATTTGCACTAAAATAAGTGCTGAGAGCATTACTAGATCAACAGAAAACTTTCTCTCATACAGACACCAAAGAGACAGCGGCTCGGGGTCCGATGAAGAGGGCGGAGGACACAGGAAGCGCATTGCGTCCGACAGCGAGTCAGATGGAGGAAGGAACCGCTCTGGCAGCGAGGCGGGCAGCCCGGCGGGCAGCCCGGCAGGCAGCCCGGCAGGCAGCCCTCGGCGCTCTGCAGTCTCAGAGGATGACGACTCTGGCAGCGACCGTCCAGTGAAGAAGAGGAGGGTGCAGCGGCAGTCCGACTCAGAGCAGTCAGACAACGAGAGCAAGAGGAGTCGGTCGGGATCGGACGACGAGTCCCGGCGCGGTTCGCCCGTTGCGGCGTCTGACCGAGGATCAGACAGGGCATCGGAAGCGGGATCAGACAACGAGGGCTCCCCGCGCCGCTCTGACAACGGCTCTGAACCTGAAGGCTCCAACAACGAGGACGACAGTGATTAAATCTTCCTCACAGACTCGTCCCACGTAATGATGAGAAAACTCTCCACACTTGCGTTTCTTATTTTCTATTAAAAGCAGGGATTTCTGTCCGTATATCTTGGAGATGGCTAGAAGAGGTTGTAGATTGTTGTTTTTTTGGCACAGTGTTACGGTGTATTCCTCACTCCTGGTGTGGAATTGTCTTCACAGATGCTGTTTTGTTAAACATGAAATGATTTGAAGTGAACTAAAAAGGTGTAAAACCTCTATTTTCTATCTCAGATGGTCAGACACTGACACAAAAATGGGAAGATGCTTCAACAAACTGTCAAATTAAAAAGAGAGAACAAGTATTGTGTAAGATGTGGATCCTCTGCTTCTGTATCATATTATGGAGCCAATAGAAAAATGATGTCAACTTTGTTTTTTGCTGATAATGATTCTTTTGTGTCCATTCTAACTTTTGTCAAAGTAAAAAGACTTTAGCAGCAAACTTCAATCAGGGTGTCCTTAACATTTTTACAATTTCTTGTATAACTTTACAGCTGATACATGTATTGATTTCAGTCTTCAACTTTTTGAAAGTTGTCATAATTGGCCATTTGTTAGGAAATTTAAACAAGTTAGCATCCCTTTATATAACAGCAATATGGATTTCAATCAGAAATAGAGTCGGTGTTGTAGCTCAAAGAGGTCCTCCCAGCCAAAAGCCAGATTGGTATCAAGTGTCACTATCTCAGTGCATACTGACAAGATGTTACGCAGTGTTAAGTTGGTTTGGTTCCAAAGTTTAAATGAGTGCCTCAATTTCCTGCACTTATTTGGAGCCAAGCAACTTCTGCCATCTTTAGTCCGGTTAGGTAGGCTTGAATAATCTAAATCATCATGAATGTGCTGCATTTCTTGTTGCCCACCTGTTAGGTGTCAACAAATGGCAGTCATCCACCCCAAAACAAGAGATTTTAGGAATTAAAAATGTTTTTAAATGGCACCTAAAAAGCAGGTAACTAAGTTTTTCAAGATGGGCAAGTAAAAACAACAAATTTAGGGGGAAAGAAATCGTCAAGACAATGAAATGAACCGTTAAACTTTATTCAAGGTTGATCTGTAGTTGTACACTCAAACTTCCTGTATTTAACATTACAGTGACACTCCAAAAGAAGGTTTAAGTGTACATATACAGTGCATTCTTTATAATTTCATGAAGATAAAAAGACCATTTAAAAACTTGACAAATATGGCAAACTGACGTAAAATTTCCACACATGGTGAACAACTGTAGCACAGGAAACTAAGCTTTGGCTGTCTCAATGTGTTAAAACCGAGACATTCAAGTATAGTCCGAGATACATTAGAGGTATATCCATATGAATTGATAAATTAAAAAAGGCCACACAGATTCATTCCTAACAGCACAGAAGTTTTGTACATAAAAAAAAAAAAAAGCTCCTGATTCATTAAACTAAATGGTAACTGAAATCACACTGTGCAAACAAAACAGGCCATTTTTGTTAGACATCGTCAAATCCAGATTATTATGAATTTTTAGACACAATGGTCTGCTTTCAAGCACAAGAAAATTATAATTATGGCAGCACAAAACAGCAACTGAGGATTGTTTAAACAAATCGAGGAAAGTGTATGTTACTATTGCAACGACTCATGATGTTGAGCAAAGTGCATCTAAAAACTGATTAACAAATGTAGATAAAACAATGAGAAAATTCTCTTTGCAATATGTTAGAGTCTCTTCTCTTTTGTAAACAGTTTTTAAGTTAATAGTTATGGCAGCACTTGGTGACTCCTACCAGATGTAAAAGGTGATAAAATGGGTCAGATTTTGGTGCTGGCACAGTTTCCTGCACAATACTGCCTACTGTTAAAGAAAACGTAACCCAGGATGATTGAAATGTATAAAACTGCTGTAGGACATCAAATAAGATTGATAATCAGAAAGAAAAGCATAAATATAATAAGATGGTGATGATGCTGGCTTGATCTGGCAAACATTTCATAGTGGAATGAAGTGTAACAGTGGTTGGAAAATATTTATAAACAAGAGGAAGAGGGAAAGAGTTGGGTTGAGAGAGGAAGGGGCATATTATGAGGACGAAAAAAAAGGAAAAAAAGTTTTAAAAAAATCTTTCATTGCATCCTGATAACACATGGCTTTGGCCTGTTCCTCAGTAATCTTCACCCTCCGACTCCTCTTCTTCTGCAGTCTCCAGCCAGGTCAGCCACTGGTTCACCTGCACCATGAAATACACAGTATTACCATTAGGTTCAGTTATTTTGAGAAAACCAATCATATGGGAGTACAACACAAGTGGGATACTCTAAGAACCTGATGATTGTAGCCATTAATGAGCATGTAAATGCATAAAGCCGCTGTCCACTGTCGGAGAGCAATTTGAAAAACACGCATTAGCAATGTACATAAAATTACCTGAAATAATGCTTTTCCCTTCCCTGGATACTCCTGGGTGACATCTTCTTTCCATGAAAGGAAGGCTTCTTCTTCAATTATTTCCATGTCATAAAAGTTTACAAAGTAGCGCAGCAACATGCCTAGAAAAAAAAAAAAGATCCACCGTTAAGCTTCTGTCAGTTTAATACCTTTTCCTCACTTGGGGTTAAAGCTGCTGTACTGAACAAGTGTGTGTACATACCTTTGGGGAAACCCTTGGCATTGCAGTGGACCTGCAGGGCGTACATCGCACTGACTTGCAGGTCGATGTGATCGTGTAGGAACTTCTGCATCACTGGCTTGAAAGACAGCAGCAGTTGCTTCTCGTCATCCAGCTGCTCTTTGCTGGGTGCCGCAAGCTGCTCTTCATCATCGTCGGGGTTGATCTCATAAGCAATGTACTGCAGGAAACTGGCAGGCAGGAACACAAATATGAAATACTTGAAGATCCACCAACAAAGTATTGGCTGACAAACACATTTTATCAGCAGAGACTGATTTCACCGTTACAAACATTGTTCACTGCTGTACCTGGTCATGAGAATGTTGACAAAGCCTTTGTCGGTGTGGAGTTTAGGAGAGATGTTGTCTTTGATCCACTTGTAGATGGACTGTGGAGAGGGGTCTACTTTGATCTGTTTCAGAAGCTCCTTCTCCAGTTTCATGAGGGGGAACAAAAAGCTGAGGCCTTTGCCCTCGAGAATCTCCAGCATCCTGTCCTTGTTTTGGTCAATTTCTAAAGGAGTATAAAAACACACATCAGTAGGAGCAACAGATTGATACTTAAGAAATGAAAACTTTTCTTAGAACTGCATCATTGAAATGAATGACAGTTATAAATATGGTAGAGTGGGTTTGGACATACCAGGTAGCATCTTCTGCATGTTGACCTTGCTCTGCTGGAACAGGTCAGCCAGCCATTCACGGTCCTTCAGTTTGACCATCTGCTGCAAGCAGAGCAAGAACAATGGGAAATGTGCACCATTCTCCAGCTGGTGAGCCAAATCTGCAATGCTGACCAAGTCAGCAATGATGGCGCGTGCTGCAAACTGTGCCAGATAGGACTTCACCAGTGGCACTTCTTCCTCGATCTTAGGACACTGGTCCAGAACACCCAAAAAGGCCTATCAAATAAATCAGAACAGTTACATATCGATATTCAGATAGTAAAAACATAGTCTCAGTATTTTATATATTCTGAATTTTATTTTTAGACAACACTGACCTGCATTAGGTTTTCACCAGTGACAATGCCCTCAGTGCAGAGCGCATGGATCAGGGTGCTTGCATGTTCCTTGTCCTCATCTGAACGATCAAGGGAGTAGACCACAATCTTGTTCAGCATCTCAGACAAAAAGTGTTTTGGAGCCTTCATCTCCCTCGCAGCATTCACTGCCTCTTCAATGTTCTTGTTGTTCAGGTAATCTGCCACCAATGTCTCCTACAAAAGGAAAGTACATTCAGATATTGTTGCTAGACACAGTATATTGTGCATGAAGGAAGCACAGATTAAGACTTACTGTCATTTTGCGCAACTCTTCCTTTGTAGGAGGAGCCTTTTTATTGGACTTTGCAGGTTTTTCCTGAATAGGAGGAGGGTTGATTTTTAGGCCGAGCTGCGGAGGCTAAACAAAGAAACCCGAGTTAATACATGTTGCTTGGAATGACCAGTTTAACAGCTTGTTTTTAAAAGTAAAAATTTTACCTGTCCTAGTGGGGAACCTTGGGCAGGAATCACAGTCATCTGTGGCTGCAGCTTCGGCACTTGTTTTTTATTTAAGATGAATGACTGTGCTGGCCTCAGACTGATCTGAAGGGGTGAAGACAAGTTTATTAAAAAAAATAAATACTGCACAGATATATTACTCCACATTTCATGACTGAAGGTATTTAACATTACATAATCCAGCAGAAACAATAGGATTCATTTAAAATAGAGCCCAGACTACTCCCAACATACAAAACTCAAGAAGCCTAGACAAATATAATCTTAGTTTATAACTGCAAGTGGTTGTACCTCATCAGCATTAACCTTGCCCTTCTTGCTGAAACGTGGAGCCATATCCTTGGACTGCATCTGCACCGAGTGATTCTGTTTGTGGTTGAAAACCGGTGAATTCTGACCCTTTAAACAAAAAAAACACAAAACATTTCACAGATTTAGCAATGAAGACTAAATCAATTTACATTGACAAAGTACTTGACAATTATACTGTAGATGTACTCCAGGTACCTGGTTTGGTTTTATGAATGGTTTGCTTCCTGCTTCAAACTGAGGCTGGTGTGAACCGTTGCCGTTCACAATATGGCCATTGTAGAGCGGGTTTGTGCGGTGACGTCCCATGGTAGGGGAATAGTGGTCCTGAATGACCCCTGGCCCTGTGCCGATGCCGCTTCCTACATAAAAGACGACAAAACATTAAAACATTGCTAAAGGGGATCAATACTTAATGTGTCATGGCAGTAGTGTAACAATCTCTTATCGCTCGCAACATACCAGGCATTTGTCCAAACATATCAGCCAGCCCACCAAGAGTTTCCCTGTCAAACTTGATCCTTGTTGGCAAGAAGGAGGAGTTTTCCATGAAGAATTCATTCCGCATACCATCGTTTGAAGGTGGAATAAAAACACCCAAGTCCTGCAACACAGCCAGAATCTAAGCATGTGCACTACTAGACCTGAACCCCATTATCATTATTATTATTAAGCAGTTCAGTAAGTATTGGATAGCATGAATCATTCTACACAGACAGATCATCCAAAGTGGACCAGGTAGACTAACCTTTACTGCATCCTGACGAACTTGGTTGATTGTCTTTGGTCCGTTGTCAACATGAGCTTTGCGAGGAGACCAGTTGTTCTCCCGCAGCTCCACTGTATTCTGGAGCAGGAAACGAATCCTAGCTGGCAGCTCCTTGTTGGTTGTTAAGGAGTGCATGCGGCCAAAGTACTGATTCATCAAAGACTGGAGAGAGAATGTATGTTAGTAAATGGAACAAGGAGAATTTAAAGACAAGATAATTATTTGCTT